GTTTTATCTCAGCAAGTACTAGCCCCGCCCACCCACCCTCTATTTTCTTAGAGGGTATGCCATTTGCCAAAATCAGTATTATCTTGGTAAGTACTAGCTCCACCCACCCACCCTCTATTTTCTTAGAGGGAATGTCATTTGCCAAAATCGATCTTATTTTAGCAAGTACTTACCCCACCCACCTGCCCTCTATTTTCTTAGAGGGATCTCATTTACTAAAATCTGTTAATTCTTCTTGTACAACAATTTTACTCGGTTTTCTTACTTTAGGCTGAAGACGAAGACAGTGGTCATGGAAACATGTACCTTGTTACTTCCCGAGCGTAAGCAAAGGAAGTATTGTAATCGAGTCCGTCGGCCGACTCTCTGCTTTTACGTTTTCTCGATCTTTCATGACCCCTAGAAGACGAAGAAATAGGTCTCCCATTTCCGTCTGTCTGTCCGTCTGTCCGTCTGTCTGCCGTTCCGGATTTTTATTAGACAGATAATCTCCGAAAGTACTGGACCGATTGTTGGGAAATTTTGTCCTTAAGGTATATTAGGAATATCATGTAGATGGTAAAACGCTAACCAAAATTTGTCTAATCATCCCCACCACTAATGTGATGACGTCACTTCAAAATTGTACATAGTAAATGGGTTTTAAATTGTATAAAATAATATAGTCCTAAACATGTAGTTTACGACTCCGAATTGAGTTTCTACCCGAAATGTCCAGATTTTTGGAAAAAAAAATCAAAATTATAAAACATTTTGCAATTTAATTTTGAATCTGCTAATCCGAATGTTTTGATTTGTTGCAGATGTTTTAGGGCTATAAAGAGTATCATAAATCTTTAGTCAAAATATATTTGGTTATCCCCTCCAAAAACTTGATGACGTCAGCTCGAAAGTTTGCCGAATAAATCCTATCTAAACTGTACAAAATATGATGAGTCTGTACTTGTAATTTATCACTCCATTCATATTTTTTGGATTTGCATATACAGGGTGACTCAAAAAAATTAATGAATGGGTAAATTTATGTTATTGATTTACTCAGGAACTACAAAACCGAATGCTTTGAAATCTTGAAGGTGTTTTAAAGTTATCATAAGCATGGTAAGTTTTTGATCAAAATGTATTTGCTCATCCCCCCTAAAAAATTTATGACGTCACCACAAAATTTTGGTAAATAAATCCTATCTAAAATGTACAAAATATGATGAGTCTTTTCTTGTGATTTATCATTCCATTCATAGTTTTTGGATTTGCATATACAGGGTGACCCAAAAAAAATAATGAATGGGTAAATGTATTTTATTGATTTAATCAGGAACTCCAGAATCGAATGTTTTGAAATCTTGCAAATGTTTTAAGGTTATAAAGAGCATAATAAATTTTTAGTCAAAATATATTTGGTTATCTTCTACAAAAAACTGATGACGTCAGCTCAAAAATTTGCCGAATAAATCCTATCTAGAATATACAAAATATGATGAGTCTGTACTTGTAATTTATCATTCCATTCAAATTTTTTGAATTTGCATATACCGGGTGACTCAAAAAAAAAAATGAAATCTACTGCGAAAAAAAAACATAATAGACATGCTGTCGTCACGTTTCCGACAGCGAGGGAAGTACTGTCTAAACTCTTTAGACCAATTTTTTTTTATTAAATAGTTTACAACCTTTATCTGTGGAGTACAGACATTATTCAAATACCGAAATGACGATATTTACAAAATCGCCTTTGAACACATTCAAGCTTTGAAACAGTACTCTAATTTACTACGAACCAAAAAATGGTAAAGGCAGGTCAAACTACGTATCTGACCTTCAGTGTTGCGAACAATAAAGCCCAATAATTTCATGGATTCATTGGTGATGCCGAAAACATGCGGAACAAAAGAAAGTGTCGAGTCGAGTGTTATACCTAGGTCGCGTATTTCAGTGTATCTATTAAGTACTACATTGGTAACATTTAATTGAATAATAACATGGTTGTAGATTTTAACAATCAAGAGTTGTTGCTCATACGCCCGCCAAGGTTTTGGGATTAATACAATCATTTTATAATGATTTGTTCGTGTGTTTTCTGCGTATGAGTGCGCATGCTCGGTAGAATTGAATTGAAATAAATGGAAACAGTGACATTTCAATTGCCTTTTGGCATTAGACAATAAATAATATGATATTACACGATATTGATATTTTCTTTGTTAAGTAGCATCGCAACGCATGCGTTGTAAATTTAAAAACAGCTAGTTTAGTACATAATAAAGGGTGTTTCAAAATAATTTTCATCTAGTTAGATTTGAAATCGCTTCAACTTCTATCTTTCCTTTGATGAGAATCTCCAGCCATAGGCGACTAGATGAAAATCATTTTGAAACACGTTGTATAATTTTTATTATACCGATGCACATATTTAAAACTAGAATAGCTGATGCCCGCAGATCCGCCTGCGTGGATATCACAATTAGGACACATTATTTTTCACCCTCCGATGGGGGTATAATAATAAATCTTATATACAGTGCATCTTTTTTAAAAATGGCATAGGGATTCCCATGTTAAATTTTATACCCCGTGGTAACTTATGTTTGAGTAAAGATTCAAAGTTGAAATTTTTACTGGATGTAATTTGGGTCATCTTTTGTCGATTTTATTAAAGGTCAGGCTTTAAATTAAAGGATATTTCTTAAAAAAAAAATAAAACATTTATTTCGTAGTTGGTAGGTACTATTTTAACATAAATCCAGAATTCTTTTTTTCTTTTTGTTTCAATACCATATTGTTACAAAATAAATAAAAAAAATTTAGACACAGTTTTTTAATCTCTATATTTTTTGTGCTTATTCTTTTGCTTTCAAACAGTTAGGGGATATTTTCAAGTTTCTGTTTTTACATGTAAAATCTCTATGTTCCAAAAACGATTCTGCACCCAGTAATATGAATACGCAACTGACAAATGTAATTTTGAAAAAAAGTATTTTCTTCAGTTTTCTCATATAAGTCGTTATTTTTCGGTGGTCATTGGCCAATTGACATACATAATAAATATATAGTCGTATAATCGTTTCTCGAGGGCGATGATGAGTGCCTCATTGTCGGTGACGGCGGCCGGGCGACGTTCGCTAAGGAAAAGTCTGGAAGTGGAAGTCGCGATGGGTACCTACGCTAGAAATCCTCGATCGCGGAATATCTAGAAGGGAACTATGACTTTAAATAGAGGTCACTTTGAGGGACGAGGCATTCAATCAACGAGAAAATACAGTCAAGTTGCGCCGGAATTCTTTTGTACATAATCGTTGTGTAATTAGTCGTATAAAATTGAGTTACTGAGAAATAAATTGTTGAGTTTTACCCACGCCGATTTTAATCGTAACAATATAGTCGTATAATTTTAATTATATAGAATCCAGACAAATAAACGTATATTTTTCGTATACCTATTGTATGGAAATTATTGTAACAATAATTACTGTCAAATGTGTATCAAAATTTAAATGCGGTACAATTGGCCTTGACCACTCCCTGACTAAACTGATATCAAACTGTGTACGTCTGACCTAAATTTATATTTTCTTTATCTACAAGAATTTATAGAAGATGTATAGTCACGCAATCGTAATATGTATGGATTTATCCGGCAACAAAACGATACACAACAGCAAACAAAAACTAAACTAAAGGTATCGTGAACAGTGCCCAAACATTTTGAAGATAGACACTGCTAATAAAATTGTTAAAGAAATGCAAGCCAAAATGAGCTTGAGCGAAATTTGCTAAATTACAAAGAAAAATATGACATTTTGGGTGAAAGTATTCAAGGTCTTTTTAATGAAAATCAGCTTTTAAATTTAAGAATTAAACGCAAAAACGCCAAACGATGGAGCAATGCAGCAGTAAAGGATGTAATTATATTAAAATTTATTTGTGGAACGTCTGGATTCAACTATCTTTTAAAGAAAAATTTTCCGTTTTCATCTAGAACAGTACATCGCAAAATTGAGCATTTACCTGGAATTTTACATGCAATTTTTAATTACTTGTCAATAAAAATCGAGAATTTTAATGAATTCGAAACAGACTGTTGTCTATTATTGGATGAAGCAACTTTCACTCCGGGCAAAGAATACTGTCTAGGTTCTGGAATCACATTAGGAAATACGACTTTGTCCAATAATAATGAAATTGCGACACATGTTTTGGTTTCCATGTAAACTGGGATAAATTTAAGATGAAAGCAAATAGTTTGCTATCATGTCACTAATGACTCTGTGAATGGTGAAGAATTAATTGTTGTTATTAGGAATATTACTGCCACAGTGGATCGTATAGGTTTAAACATCACTTCAAACATGGGAGCTTCCAGTCGGACTATGTGGAAGCATTTTGAGATTAAAGACAAACACATTCATTCAAAATTCCATCAGTAACCCAAATAACAGCAGCAAAAAAAAATTATTTTTCGGCAGATATTCCCCGTCTGTATAAAAATATCAGATCTGTACTTGTAAATAACAAAAATTCTAGAAATTCCTCAATACTGTTAATATTGATCATATAAAAAAAATTAGCCAAGTGTCAAGATCAACTGGAGTTGCAATTGGGACCAAAATTGTTACCCGAATTACTTGAATTAAACCACTTTAACAAAATGAAGGTATCAAAAGCTTTTCAAATACACATTGTATGTGTATAGAAATGTTGCAGCAGCATTAACTTTCTTAGTAGACGAAGTAGATGATAGCGATCAGAACGCTTTACTAACTGCTGGCTAAATTTATTAATAAGCTACTTAAACCATATTAACATCATTTTTTCAATTTTTTTGTCCCTGTTCAGATTTGATAAAAATCTTCATCTATAAATGATCTAGTTATTAAAATAAATCTTCCTTCACAAAGTTGAAGGGCGCAAAACCTCATTTTGTAACTCTTACCATCTTACCTACAACCCTTGCTCCTAAGTTACTATTTTACCTATTATTCTGATATTTTGGTTGACAAAGACATCGTCAAAAAACTGACATTTATTTAAAATACAACAGTAGTTTTAGCTCTATGGCACTGGCTCGTTCTAACTTCTAAGAAACATGGGCTGTGTAGATGGTAAATATGAAACAATTTAAGTGATGTCTAAACAAAGGTAACTAACCTAATCATCTGCTTTCGTCACCTACAGATCAATAGTGAGTGATAGATAATTGTCTGTCGAAGTAGTTACTCTAAAATGTAATTGCAATAAATTATATAAAACGGTAAAATCTTGACTATACATGAATAAGGATTAAATTCATGAATAAATTAACGATAGACACTTGTGTTTCATGACGGTGGCGTACGGCAATATAGGGGCAGCTAAAACTATAAAGTTGCAAAATAATCAATATTTAGAAGGACAAAACCGTACAGTTGTTAGTCCAATAAAATCTACCTGTGCGGTATGTGCTAGAGTGTAAGAGGTTATACCAGTAATTCAAATAAATATGTCTACCTTCACCACAATATTTTATTACGCACCATACAAGAAATTTTGATTATATTTTCATAGAATGAATCGATATATAACTCTTCATCAGCTTGGAGATGGAACTTACGGCTCGGTTGTCCTCGGGCAACGTAAGGATACAGGAGAGAAGGTAGCTATTAAAAGGATGAAACGAAAATATTACTCATGGGATGAAGCAATGAATTTAAGAGAAGTGAAGGTACTGTCATAATTACTTTTTTATTTTAAGGTTTAGTATATAATCAACAATTTTAGTCTCTAAAAAAATTACACCATTCCAATGTTGTGAAACTCAAAGAAGTTATTAGAGAGAATGATATTTTATACTTCGTTTTCGAATATATGCAAGAAAATTTATATCAGTTAATCAAAGATCGTCGTGTGCCATTACCAGAAGCTACCATAAGGAATATGCTGTATCAAGTAAGTTTTAGCATATGAGTAATATACACGTCTTAGATATATCGAAGGTTTTTTAAATTTATAATGCATAAGTAGATACAATGACAATCGATCCACTTTTTTATAGCACCTTGATTGATCAAAGTAGGAGTTGCAACAGATTATTGTACAGATGACACAGATATTAATCTGAATTATTTATGTAGGAGTACTAAATAATTTAAAATTCAAGCATTTTGAGTTAGCTATATTTTTTCAGTGCTTTTTAAACTATTTTAATGATATTAATTTGTTCTTAGTTTTTTTTTTACTTCGCCAGCATAAACTAGAAACGGTTAATTTTATGTTTTCGTGACGATTATAGATCCTAGAATATGAAAAAGTAGGTTTCTCATATGGACGTAGATTTTTGGAAAATAAACAAATACAAATTGTACAACAAATCTTATAATGGAACTTAGAATATATGAAACCAACTGCACTTAAAGTGTACACGCAGTTTAAGTTATCGTGGACATAGTAAATCGAATCAAAATTCACCCGTGCATACCTTCCAAAAACTTGATGGTGCTGTCTTAAAATTTATTTGCCAGTCTTACTTTAAATTTATGTGTATCCACATTTTTAATAATTTATAAAAACAAACTATAGAATCTAGGAAAAAAAACTTTTTTGAAATGTTGATAGTTTTTAACATTGATTTCATAATTACAGAACAACAAACAAAATTTATTTATTCATCCCGTCTAAAAAGTTAGTGACGTCAATGCAAAAATTTATTAAATAAATGTTTGTTAAAAAATGTGTTCCAAGATGTAACGTCATAGAATGTTTAAAGAATAAATAAATTACTCAATTAATTTTACCGATGTTCAAGACGTTTAAATTCGTAAAAAATATGATAATTTCTTAAAATTAATTAGAAAACGAAAAACTAGCTATTTCACAAGCAGTGACATGGTATCAGTTCCAAAATTTGGACCATTTTAGAAATGACTTTTTTATTTTGCGTTGGTAAATAGTTCTATTAAATTAAGGTGCAACGCAATGTTGGTAAGGTCAATACTTTGGTTCGCGAAAATGAAGTTGTTTTTTTTTACTTTTTGGGTTCATTTAAAAGTCTACTGCTGGCGTTTCACGAATGTACGGGCCACTGACCGGGGATGCCTGTTTTGACCTCCTCCGCCTTCACAGGCGAAAGTCGTGCCACCGCCGCCCGGAGAATTTACCTGTACCCTGTACCCTTCGGACAAAAAATTTTCCGTCAGTCTGCTGGTCTTTTATTATTGTTCCGAAACTTGTTTGGAATTATTACCCATCTCACAGTAGTTATAAATCTTGGCTTATATTGCTGCCAAAGTGCAATAGTTTTTCCATTTAAATCAGTTTTGTAATTCGTGAGTTACATGTTTCAAGGTTAAATTTTAAATTTCATTTAAATTAATAATGTGGAAATTCAGTCGTTAGTACATGCTATGAAAAAACCTTAAACAAACGTTTGTCGATAAACACAACAGCTAATGAATATTTATTTATTCACTACATTCGTGATGCATTTAACAAATGCAAATAAAAAATAAAAAGTAACTGCTGTATGCTAATAAGAATAAGAGTAATAAGTAATAGCAAGTAGGTATGTATACACCTACCTCCATATGAGTACAATACCAGTCTAGCGGTTATAAATAAAATTTGAAACTTTTGAGAACAGGTCACATGGCAAAAAATTGGACAAAAATTTAACGATCTGGTTCCTGTTTGACTTATTTATGGTATACCTACATATGATCAAAACTAGTGATTAAATTTGTGCGTACAATGATCATAATAATAGATAAATGCCCACATTTGATGATGTAGGAAAGCTGATTCATTTTAGATTGAATAAACCAATTCAAGCAATCTGAAATAATTCATGCTTGCACAAAAACAGTGATATCGATTACTAATTATTATTATTTTTTGCTTTGTTGACGACATCACAAAATTTTGTTGTGGGAAAACTCATTTGAAATATACGCATGGCATGCTTTTTTATCTATACTTTAACAATCTATATACGTATATCTTCATTTTAACTTATAGGGGTTATCTATCATAAACTCAATAAATATTATTCTAGGATCCACGGCAGTAGTTGGAAATAATTCAGTTACAAGTAATCAATTACTGTAATTCAATTCCTATTCAAGCAATGAGTAATTGTAACTAATTACTTTTTTTGAGTAATTCAGTCACTTTTACAATTACTTTTAATCCAAATACTCAAAAATATTGTTTTGTTTTTCTCTACGAATAATTGTAGTGAATTCCTTAAAAAAAAGTAATTTGTAATTGTAATGAATTACTATTGTTACTGAATAATCCGTAATTGTAATGCATTACTTTTTAAAAGTACAATTTCCAATCAGTGAAAATGGCGTAATTTACATCCCCACAACTCCTGCTTCTTTAAATATAAAATATATTTAAATCAGATAACTAACGGGAAAAAATATAGACATTCTCAATTTCTCAGTATGTATCTGCTTAACTTCGACTGTTTATATTTATACTTCGACCGAATTGGACTTTAAGGTACGTTCATATTACAAACGGTAATTTGCGGTTAAAAGAAACTGAAATTCGCTTGATTTTGTGTCCTCAACGCAGAGGAAAGGACACAAAACAATCTTAAAATATCTTCATGATTTTACATTTACAGCATTTGGTTTTTGCAATTTCAAAGTTAAATTGTAAAATATTGTTGTACAATTTAATTTTTTACAAAAATCTGGATGCTAAGGGTAAAAAGTTAACACGGATTCATAAATCACACATGCAGGACTATGTTATTTGATAAAATTTAAAGAACATTTGTTCGGTAGATTTCTAAGATGACCTCATAATTTTTTGGCGAACAAATTTTGATTAACGATTTATCATCTTTCCTATAACTTTCAAACGTTTGGAATATTTCAGTACATTCGCTTATTTTTAATGGTTTCCCCAAAAACCTCAATAGCTAGGAGAAAAACTCAACCCGGATTCTAAATTACACATGGAGTATGTAATTCTATAAAATTTAAAGAACATTTGTTCTGCAAAATTATAAAATTACGTCATCATTTTTTAGAGGCCATAAACGAAAAAAAAATTATTAACGATTTACCATGCTTACGATAATCTTAAAAAGCTTGCAAGTTTTCAAAGCATTTGGTTTTACAATTTCAAAATTAAATTGTAAAATGTTATTACACAATTTTGATTTTTTTTTTCTCAAAAAATTGGATGTCTAGGGTGAAAACTCGGCACGGATTCATGAATCACACATGCAGGAGTATGCAACCCTATAAAATTAAATATATGTAATACCAAAAAAAAGGGGCAAATTTGTAGTAGGTAAAATGGTACGTTTCACCCCACATTGTGTTTTTAAATTTATTATAAAGTGCTTTATAATTTTTTTAAAGAGGTCAATTTTGACGTTGGAGAGGTATTTTTTTATTTTTTATAAAAATCTCAAAGTCAGCGGTTTCTATATGGATCCGCTAGAATCATGGTCAAAATCTTTAGAAATCCACAACTTTTTAAAAATGGCCCCCTGGTACCAGCCACCCCTGAGTAGTCAATTAAAATATGGTGAAATTTCGAAAAAAAAAAACTTTGAAGGGCTATATCTTCTACATTTGACCAAAACGATTTTTAAATTATTTTTTCTCCGCTCCAAAATGGTTTTGAACAACGTGCTATAGAGCGGGTGAGCCATTTTTTGAAAATGATGTATAGTTGTTACCACAACATTCCCTCGGATAAAAAAACAAATGTTGTGCAAACATGTTTCTGAAAATAACCGTAGAACTGTTTAAAAGTATTTAATAGTTATTTATACACCAAGTCAAGCATATATTTAATCACCTAGAAGAACGTTTCTCTCCGAGTGAACATGGACATATTTAAAAACAAAGATAAAGTATTCATTATAACTACGCCCCGTTCCCATTTCCCCCTTTCGAGGCTCGTACATCGACATGGATATCAATATGCTATAAATAGTGGTACAATTTGTCTTTAATTTGGCTTGCCCCAAAAATCCCAATTTCATTCGTAAAACAAAACTCGTAGATTTTTTGCAGAGAACAGAGCACCAAAAACTTAAACTTCCTACGTATCCCCGTGTCACCTTCTTGCACTTGTCGATTTTTGTTTTATATGTAATACTATACTTCTGAAATCTCTTACAGATTTTACAAGGATTAGCATTTATACATAGGCATGGTTTTTTCCACCGAGATTTAAAACCTGAAAACATTCTCTGTTCTGGACCCGATCTCATAAAAATCGCTGATTTTGGTTTAGTTAGAGAAATTCGTTCTCGTCCTCCATACACAGATTACGTGTCTACGAGATGGTATCGAGCACCTGAAGTATTGCTTCATTCTACAACTTATAGTAGTCCAATAGATCTTTGGGCAGTTGGATGTATAGCTGCTGAAATCTATACATATCGACCATTATTCCCTGGGACCACCGAAACTGATCAGCTTTACAAAATATGTGCCATTCTTGGAACACCTGATAAGGTAACTTTGCTAAACACAAATTATTATTGCTTATTTTATGTGTTTTAGAAACAATGGCCTGAATGTTACCAATTGGCTGGAGCTGTAGGATTTAAATTTCCATATTTCAAGAAAACACCTCTTGAAGATGTCGTACCTCAAGCTAATGCAGCAGCAGTAGACTTAATGGAAATACTTTTAAGTTGGAATCCCGCTTTAAGACCGACGGCTCAATCAGCTTTAAAACATCAGTACTTTCAGGTTACTCTTTATGTGAGTTATTTTAGCCTAGTGTAAAAACATGTTGATGCAGGTTGGTCAGCAATATAATGCACATTCAGGAATTCGTCATAACCAAAATAACCAGTCACAAATACATCAGAATGGAGTATATCAACAAACCCAGCCACTCATTAATAGTGATGTAATTTATCCAACCAAGCAAATACAGATTCAACCCAGTGCTCGCAGTACGCGAAATCAGTATAACCACCAAATAATACCACCATCTCTACAACCATCTGTTCAAATTAACATTCAGTCTTTAATAAAACCTATGCAACAACCTGAAAAACCACAAAATCCTCCAATTGTATATAGCTTTGGACAACCTGATTTTACGAATAAGTATTTTTCTGGGAATAACGAATCTAATAACAATAAACCAATGGCAAATAAAAAAATCACATGGGGCATGGATGATACATTTGATTACAAAGAAGACGACTTTGCAGATATTTTAGGGTAAGTATTTCACGTGATTTATAAACATAGATTTTAACACTATATCCAATTTCCCAAGAAGCAAAATTAAAACTAACCCTACTGATACATCAAAAGAAAATAAAATTAACTTAAGTCAGTACAACTTGCAAGATATTTTGGAGCCACTAGCCAAAGCAAGTGCTGGAACTGCTAGAAGCCAGTACCTTAGCGTATCACGATACGTCGCAGGACAGCCTTCTGGTGTAAGAAGAGATTCAAGTATTTTGTCATCATTTTCAACGAATAGAAAAGACAGTGGATTATTTAATAGCCGATCTAGTGAGTACTCATAATCAACAATAAATACATGAGTTGTGACTATTTTATGCTTTATAGGTAAAGTTGAATTACCTCCAATTTGGAACAATCCCCTCAGTAATGTAAATTCTGGAAAGCAAAGACCGATAGAAAATTTAAATAATTTAGGTAATGACTGGTTCGCCAAATAGGTTTCATTTCATTATTTCCGAGTTTAAAAGAAAATTCCGCCGTTAACATTTAAGAGCAGCGATATAACATCAACTTTAATCCAAAATTTTCAGACAGTGAAAATTCATCCCACTGTCGTTTAGTACAAGCAGTTAGTGAAATATTACATCATATGGAAATCTTATGTGCCTGATAATATGTATAAAACTGTATTACAAAAATTAATTATTTAATAAAATAAAAATGTTATAGATCAATTACAAATTTTTTTTTACTTTTCGGGTACAGCTGAAGGAAGTATTGCAATATATACTCTCTACTTTTACGTTTACTCGACCTTTCATGACCCCTACAGTACGAAGAAATAGGTCTCCTGTTTCTTCTGTCTGCCGTCCGGATTTTTATTAGAGAGATAATCTCCGAAAGTACTGGGCCGATTGTTGTCAAATTTTGTAATTATTTATATTAGGAATATCATGTAGATGGTAAAACGCTAACCAAAATTTTCTTATCATCCCCACCAATAATGTGATGACGTCATTTCAAAATTGTACATCGTAAATGGGTTTTAAATTGTTAAAATAACATACCGAATGATTTGAAATTTTGTAGATGTTGATAAATTGATGACGTCACATCAAAATTTTGCTGAATAAATCGTATCTTAAATGTGTAAAATATGATAAGTCTATACTTGTAATTTCTCATTGCATTCATATTTTTTAGATTTGCTTAAAACAGGCGGCTCAAAAAAATTGATGAGTCAGTTTATTTTATTGATTAAATCAGGAACGGCTCACTCCATTTTCCCAGAAAATTTTAGGAATACAATACCGCTTACACTTAAATGCTTGTAAAAAAGGTGTGATCAAGCTGGTCTTAGCTTCTAGTTTCTTTCAGAGACGACCGAACTCGTATTTCTTACCGTTTATGAAATCGGAAAACAAACCGCAGGTCTTATGAAAAAAACATGTAAATACATTGAATCAGGAATCATTTATTAAAAAAAATGTAAGTTATTTTTTTAACACTAGAAGATATTAAGACATTGAATTTCTCTGTGAGTTATCCAATCCTGCAACAAAGAGAAAAAAAAATTAATTAGTGACCAACACCAACACTGATCATAAATAAAAATATGCAATTAGCGACGCGGAGAGATATATACGGTATAATATTTTCGCGTTTGATGTAAATTACATGTTTTTAATAAACTAAAATAATTAAAAACATTTACATCAATAATTAAATTTAACAATATTCTTATTCGTTTTTATTTTGTAATTCTTTCTATCAAACCATATTGGTGTTGCTAATATGCATTTTTTGTTGAAGTAAATTTAAATGTTATCGCATAGTTATTACTGGATCAAATTATTCTCAGTCTTATATTTACTCAATACAAATTATATGATAGAAAATCTACCAAGTCCATATAGCACAAACTTCTCCGCAAAATTTTTGAGTAAATACAAGTCTTCCATAACAAACTCAAAACTGTTACACTATGAATTGAACAAAATATTTCAGTCAAAGTTGTATGATTACAACTGCTTCAGCCAAGGTTGAAAAAACGTTTTGAATTCAAACTCACCACAAAAAAAAAATTGTGTTATACAGAAATAACTAGTGCACACAATTAATTACATATATTGATTCATTATGTAAATGAAAGATTGGTGAACAGTTAAAACAGATCTCTAAATCATTTTATGATACCCAATATGTTATATTAAACAATATTTTATTTAATTTTTGATAATGAACAATATTACACATCCGACTTTTAAGTAAAAACAATTACTCTTGTATGCCCTTTAATTGGTACACATTTCCATCATACCACAATGTTTTCTAACATTAACAAATCAAAAAATTAAGTGGAAAGAGGGTTTTTTTAAAAAATCACAAACTAAATTCTTCGATCCACACTTCCCGATGCAGAATCTTGGAATGCTAATAACAGCCAAATGTCCAATGTACAGTAAATGTAAAAACGTTTATAATTCTTTCTATTACATACCTTGGATAATTTATCTTAATCTTCTAGCTTCACGTTCGGACTCTAGAAGCGTTAGGATGTCGCCCTCACGAACTGGACCCTTCACGTTCCTGATAATTTGCCGGTTTTGTTCACCAATAAATTCAACTTTGACTTGTGTACATTGTCCTTGCGAACCTGTACGTCCTAGAACCTTAATTACTCGAGCTAAAACAACTGGCTTATCCATTTTTCAGATTTTTGGTAAAAACGTTAACACGTGCAAATGCACCAGTTGACAGTTCAAGAGGAAAAGGAAGAAACACACTGCGCAAACTCAATTTTTTCTCATTGTCGATAAAAGCGAAATCTATAACACATTGAGCAAATTTTTAAATTGCATATTTTTTTTAAGTTCATCATTCATTTATTATAACACTTCGTTCAATTTATATTAAAAATAATCATCATTGTCATTTATCTCATGCAGTTAGTAATTAGTTTAGCTAAAAATTAATAAAAGTTGTTTGACATTTTTGTTACCGATCGAGTCGATGTGGTTTTAATAATCGTGCAATCGTGGTTAGCGATAAGAATAAATGGCGTTTTTAATAGTAGTTGCTAACCTGTTAACCACACAAAAGACTATTAACGATGTATTTTTAAAAGTGCACAAATTTGTTGAAAACATGTGATTTAGCTGTGACTAAATTATAAATTATGTACTGCCTTCAGTGGCTTATTCCTGTGTTACTGATGCCCAAACCATCAAACCCTGCCCTGGTACAAACTCATGTTATGTTTATGGTACTGTATTTAATTGGATTTTTTCTGGAAAGGAAACCCTGCACAATATGCAGTTTAGTGTTTTTAGCTACAGTATTTTTAATTTGCTACAGTGGAATGGGAAACTGTTTATTTTGGGCCTCGTGTTTTGAGAACGAAAATGGTTAGTAAAAAATCGAATTGCAGTCAAGAGACGATGTGCTTTTAACTTGTATGATTTTTTGGTCGAAACCGACAGTGGAGGAGTCCTATATATTATATTTTTATTAGATCCCTATCATAATTTATTTTTTGTATCAAGCTCTTCTGTATATAAATTTGTTATGTTTACAATATTATTTATTACAATTGGCATCTCCACCAAAGACGCCTCATTTTACATGTGTATATATAAAACAGATCTTAAGTTTGTGAATTTTTTGACATTGGATTAGGAACACCAATAAGCATAATTTAATGCTATTTGTACAGTTTAAAATAAATTTCTTCCATGAATTTGCTCTGTTGTTTTGTAATTAATTCCATTGTAAAAATGTTATATTTGTTAAAAATCCTTTATTTGCTTTAAATAAATAATTTTACATTGGAAGTTCTTTAATTACTGTTTAAAATACTCTTTTATAAGTTTTTCAGCGTGTTTGTGATTGGCTAGGTTTGTAACTTTAGCCTGATATTTACAGCCTTTTCCTGCACCTTTTCCTCCCAATAATTCGCAAATTCTAAAAATAACAGCAGTTTTTATCTAACCTTTTTGAAGATTTACTTACTTATTTGCCAAATCTGAAATGGCCTTTTCATCACCATAAAGTATTATATTTCCAGCTCCTTTCTCATCGCCAACTGACAGGAACTGAAATATGTCAGTTCTGTCTGCTTCTTTAATAAGTATGTTCATGAAAGTAGGATCTGCTTCTTTTCGATGTAAAATAAAATATTTTTCTTTGCATTCTTTTAATTTCTGCGCTTCATAAACTGCTAAATCTTTGAGTACAGTTTGCAAATTTTTATTCAATAATTTTGTGTTTTGAATTAATTTTTCAACAAATTCAGGATGCTGAACTGGGTTTGTTCTAGAACATGGTTACATTACTTTTAAAATTACAACTCGCTGGAAACGTACTTTAAGTATCCAGTTAATTTCTGTTCACGTTTTAAACACTGACTCAAACGACTGACAACTCTATTACCAATCAAAAAGTACAGCAAGGTTTTGTCTTTTCTCTTACTTTTTTCACTATACAGTAACTTTACAGCTTGCAACTGACTCAAGCTTGTTACATGTGTACCACAACACATATTGCTTTCAATACCTTCAATAGTTACAACTCTTATAGCACCCTTATGATCTGCTGGCAGTCCTCTCACACTGCGGAACTAAAAATGGTTTTTGGCCACATGTAAGTATTCATGAGTAAAAATAAAATTACGTTTTCTAATTCTTCTTCTGGCGTGTTCTCATCAAGATTATGAACAACTACAGCAACGTTTTCTCTTATAAGCTCATTGCAAGTATTTTCTACTTGATCCATTTGTTCTTGTGTAACAGTAGGGGTATCTGTCACAAAACCATAAATTTATAAATAGGAACTGTTAAATATGGTTCTATACCTAACTCAAGATATGCCACTTCCTCTCCTAAATACCATGACACAGTATAGAATTTAAAATCCCTGTCAAATACTGCAGTTATCAAGTGCTGGCCAGAATGCTGTTGCATATGATCTAGTCTTCGATTCCAATCTATTTTTTGTTTAACTTGATCACCAACATTAAAGGGTTCTTTAACAAAGTGGATGGCTTTGTCACTTTTACGAGTGACCTGATACACAGGTTGATCATTGAGAAAACCATAATCACATGGCTGCAAAATTACTTGTTGAAATCGAAAGCACTTAATGGAAAGGTAATACGTCTACCTGACCACCTCCTTCAGGAAAAAGAATAGTGTCTTCTAGAATGATTTCATATCCATCCACATTTACAGTTTTACCATTTATAGATGCAGAGAATTCACTCTTCTGACATGACACTACAGTTGAAGTGAACTAAAACATATAATGTGTATAAAATAAACATATATGAATCCTATCTATATCTAATAACAAATGGGTATACCTCTTTCAGAAAACTATCTTCTTGGCATTTAAATACCATTGTCAATAAATGAAATATTTTCTTTAATTTGCTTAAAAATAAAAAAATACATTTTTTAACATTGCATTAAACACTTTTTGGGTAATTTATTAGAATAATAAATAATTTATTCTTACCTAATACTTTGTTACTGATATGACATTACATTTATGCCCTGATGCAGTGATAATTGGTGATAATCACGGATTATAATAACCAGAGATAATGATTAAGGATAACATAACCTAATTACCGGTTGTACAATTTGCTGCCTAGTGCCTAGTGCTTATTGTTTTTAGTTGGTTGGAATTACGTCATTTGACGTCGCTTTCTGTCATTTTTTGACATTTCCACTTCCAATATTGTGAGTAATGTGACGACGAAAAAAGAGTGCTTCTGGTTTTGTCAATTTTATCCATATTTTGCCGGTCTCGAGGTATTTATTCTGTCACTTTCATTTAATTCATCTACAGGATGACTCAGAAACTCTTGGATGGGCTAAATGATTTAGGGTATAATTATATTGTTTATGTCGGGTCACATATCTTCTATATTTTTATATTTTTAGGTATTCTGGACCCCTTTTAGACAAAAGTAATTTAGATGCTGCCTTAGAGGAAGGTGCAAAAAGTATAGAATACACTAAATTAGTGAATTTTTTGACAAATGAATTACGAACCCTCCTCAACATTGATGAACAAGTAAATCCTATTACAAGTCCAGAAGATGCAGTGGCTTTTATCATGGAAGTTAGTTCATTCCTGAAAGAACTAAGTAATAACTGTGAAAGGTAATATGTGTTAATTACTTACATTTGCTTTTGTTCTAGATTGCACTTATTCGGTGTTAACACAAGGTCACATATCAGACCGTCTTCAAAATGTTGAACACAGACTTCTACTTTTAGATTATTTGGCAACGGAATTAATGGCAGCACGAATTTTACAAGAGAAAAAGCCTGATAAAAAAATCGAGTTGAAACTGGTATGTAAAAATCGCACATTGAAATATTTAAATCTAATTTCTTTTGTAGCAAGAAACAGAAGAAGCTGCAAATTTAAGAAAGATATTGATGACTTTACGATTTCCTAAACCACCCCCAAATATTACCATTCAGCAACTTTTCCAAAAAGTAGTACCAACAGTTCAAAGCACTGTACAGAAAGTAGGGAAAGAATTAGTTGGCCAACCTGCTTTCACGGGAACACTTTCTGATAAACAGTGGGAAATTTTGACTGGAGTTCAGAAAGATTTAAATAGTGAATATAAAATTCGGCGAGAAATGCTGCTTACAAGATTAGATGTCACTATTCAATCATTTCAAGTAAATCATGGTGGTATAAAGGTCCATTTTATTGAATGTAAGTTTTAGTGGTCCGATAAAACAAAAGGTAAGGATGAATTATTTGAAAAAATCTACACAGAGAAACGAAAACGCTTGAAAACTGAACCCGAGGTGGAACTTTCCAATTTGTTGGCGGCGAGAAGCGACATTGCAATTATTGAAAAAACTAGTAATTCTTCTGTGAGAAAAAATACTCGTTCATCATTAAATAAAGTTATAATTGGACAGGTATTATGATAATTATTATTTTGAGTGTTTATATCATATGATAAAATAATGTTCACATTAGGTTCCTGACCGAGGTGGAAGAACATCAGAACAGGCCCCACCTCCTCCAGAAATGCCGTCGTGGCAGCAGCGCACAACTACTCCATCTGGTGGCGGACGGGGAGGTAGAGGTGGCGGTTCAGGAGGCGGCAACTACAATCGCAATGATTACAATAAACCTAATTATTCAAGAGATTCTGGTGCTGGAAATTACAGCGGAAGTTATTCAAGTAACCAAGGTGGATATGATAATTCTAGCAGTAGTAGACCCAACTATAGTGGGAGTAATTATGGTTCAAATACCAACTATAGTGGGAATAGTTATGGTTCAAATACCAACTATAGTGGGAATACTTACGGTTCAAATACCAACTATAGTCAGAACCGTAGTTTTGATAGCGCCGGTAGTTACACTTCTGGTAGTGGTAACTACAGCGGCTCTAGTTACAACAGAGAGGGTACTTATAGTGGGGGTAGAAGCAACTATAGTAATGACAACAAAAGTAGTTATGATAATCGGAATTTTGATAGCGCAGGTAGTTATGGAAAGGATTATTACTATGAACAAAATTCGAAACGCCCCAAGACTTATGATTCATTTCAATCAAGTAGAACTACCTATGCAGATCAGTATGTACAAGAAGAACAACACAACCAACAGTATCATGGCAGGGGAAGCAATCGGAGCCGGGGAAGAGGTCACTCTAATTACAGTAGAGGAGGTAGAAATAACTATTAATTGCTTGTCAACAATGAAGGTGTAAATTCTACTTTAATCAACAAATACTAATCAGGAAAATTAAACATATTTAAAGTCATATTTGTCATTGTTTAGTAACAAGGCTGCCAAGATTTTACTGAGTATTAAGTTGGATTTGATTATGTTTTACTCAAAAATAATTTTACTTAAAAATAAGTAAATTGCTTTATAAAATAAAAATGTATTGTAAAAATATAATTACATCTTCACGAATTACCTATAAAATTTAACATACAATAAAAGTGTAAAATGATTCATTATACAGGTCTAAAAAATGAAATAACACTTCTGTTGGATGTTTGATTTTTACCTTTGCTTGATTTCTTTTTGGGTGGGCTTACAGATCTTGCAGAAGACTTAATTGCATTTATTTCTAGATGTATTTTTTTTGCTGTATGATAATCCATGTGACTACTAAGTTCTTCTATTTTTATTTTCTTATTACATTCTAAGCAAGTTTCTGTAACAGCACTTGGATCATTTTCTTCATCCTTTTTAAAAAATATCATCAATGTACTATTTCCTTCAACTTTTCTTTTTATGCTTTTGGGTCTACCTCGTTTTTTACTGGTGTTAACTGCATCATCAGGTTTTTGATGATTATTGTCTCTGGTGTTTGTGTTTTGAAGGGAGTTTTCATTTCTTGACAATTTTAAAGCAAAATGATAATCTTGGTGAGACATTAAGTCATCGAGTGGTATGAGCTTCTGACACTCTGTACAAGTTTCACCTTCCTTTTCAACATAATTATCAACGTAACCTTCACTATGGTCGGAATCAGGGCGAGAATTATCTTCTATTGACACTATATCACTTTGTGGTACAGTATCGTTATCAAAATAGTTGACAAAGAATGATGATGGAGGTTTTTCACATTCTTGAGTTTCTTCATTAACATTGCAAATATTGTTACTGGTTGAATTTTCTGTCAAATCTGTGGCACTAGAGCTATTTAATTGTTCTAAAATATTGTTGTCATTTTTAAGCCTACATGAATCATCATAAAATATCAACTGGTTAATATCTTCATCTAATTCTTGTGTAAGCTGACAATATATATTTTTTTCTGTGATCTCATTATCTTTCTTTTCACAATTTTCATCCACAATGTTGCACTCTACTTCTTGAATATTGTCTTGTTTACCTATTTTCTGGCAAGTACTTGTGCTTTGCCTAACTTGAAAGAATGTTGTGATTTCTCTTACTTTTTTAACATCTTCAAAGTGGCATGCACTTAAACCTAAGAATTTCACATGGTAAGTATCATCACTTCGAAGACAAAATTTTCTGATAACATCAAAAGCAATTCTAGCGATTTTGTGTGGATCATAAGATGACAGTGGATGTGTTCTTGAACTGCTCACATCTTTTTTATTTATCTCTTGTGAAAAACTAATAACGATTTGTTTAGCTTTTCTATTATTTTCTCTTAAATCTTTTTCCAATCTTTCGCCCATTTCTTCTGACAACTTACAAAGCCAATGTTCGATACTCTCTGCAGACTTCAATGACGTTACCCCAGGGAAGTTTTTGCAACATGCAATGGACTTAGATATCAACTTTGTTGTTACAGGTTCCAAATCAATACCTCTTGATACATTATACAACCAATTACTACACAAAACAGTAATTTTTTTAGAATGTACATTAACTTTACTTGAACGTTACTTACGCAGTTTTTTCATCATATTTTTGCATTAATTGTTTTTCTGGTATTTTTGCTAACTCGCTCATGAACTTAATTTGAAAGTCGGACGCAACAGTTTGTCCAAATTTGCCTCCTAAACTCTTGATCTTATTAATTGATGTTGTCTCAAAAAACATTTCAACTGCATCCTGTGGTAAAATTGTTTGTTTATTGGGCTTGTGTAAACTACATACTAATTTCGCTAAAATTTTATTGTGGGCTATCCCCGCAGAACACTTGTATCCTAAATGTAAAAACGTTATTTTTATTAAATTAAAAATCAGTACACAACCTGTCTTTTTAAAAACTTCAAAACGTATTTCTTCAGTAATAAGACCTCCCATTGCTAGTTTTAAATTACCTGTAGAAAATTCTTGACTATAATTTATATTATGAAGAAAATCATTTAAATCAGATCCCACAATGAAAGTGTTGGTTAAATTGTCTACTTTTAAGTCATTTAAATCTGTTGAAATTCTTTTCTCAACCAGTTCAGTAATATCTAAATATGCTTCATCTACAGAAGCTCTCTGAAGAAGTGGAGTAAATGTAGCCAAAACATCTGCTACTTCTTTGCCTGCATCTCGATACCTAAAATAATGCAGTACATACATGACTGAAAAATATGTAAATGCAACAGTACTTTGTTAAATCAGCTTTTCCACGAACTTCAGGAACCTGAACTAGATTAATACTAGGGCACTTCTTTTTAGCCTCGTTGCCTCTCATATGTCTAGTAACGCCTTCGTCGCGAGCGGGATAATTAACAGCTATTATTCTGGTGAATAAAAACGTGTAAACACTTCCATGTACGCAAATTAAAGTGAGCATACCCTCCACCTCTCCATGCATTATACTGTACAACAGCTATTGGTTTATCTTTCAACTTTGGGTTGAGTTTTTCTTCTACTTGGCAATAGAAACAATCCATGTCAATTAAGACTACTACTCTGCTTGTAGGATCCATTACTGAAAAGATGCTCTAAAAGTTAAAAAGTATGATAATAATTCAAAATCATAGAACCCACAGCGGCTTACTTTTTAATATTTACAAATTAATTCAAGTCTACAGACCAGGACACAGGGACCCTAACATTCACAAAGCACGTACGGTGTATACAGTTTTTCTATATAAAAATCTGCTCGCTCATTCATCATCTAGTGTTTTATATATGACTTCTCTTCCAAAATTTTCACCACATCTTAACAGGTTATGTCCGAGGTTTTGACACTTTTTTTTGTGTTTCCCACCATCCCACTTGCCCATTCTTGGTGATTTTTGTTTTTACCAAATAGGAAAATACTGAAAAATTTAAAACCCTAAACATTTTCGTTCGCCCAACAAAATATTTCAACATAACCTCACCCGTACAACTGTCAATTCCAGAAAGTGATTGTTGACAAATTGAAACGAAATTAGAGAATTAACAATATGCCTTCAAAAAAGAAAAAATATAATGCCAGATTTCCAGCAGTAAGTAGAAATTTTGTGCCAAAATCGAAGATTTTTTTTGTTGACTTTTAGGGACGTATAAAAAAAATTATGCAAACAGATGAAGAAGTGGGAAAAGTGGCACAAGCTGTACCAGTTATAATTTATATCCTTTCAAAAACTTAACACTTTGTTTTGTTGTGCTATTTCCAGAATTGAGAAATATATCAACAAAATTACTTGAAATCTAATTCGAAGTGAACAGCTTTTGTTTGTAAAGCATGTGCTGTTAAAGATTAATTTTTGAATTTATAAAGAAGATATGCTTATTGTTTAGCGATACTTTTTTTATTGTTGAGGTAATTAGTTCCTTAGCCTCCCCTTAGCTGTGTAAAAAGAAATTGTTCATAATAAATGAGCCACATTTACAAACAAATGCTGGTCTTGTCAGTTAACTTAAAATAATATTTATGTATAATTTCCTTAATGCCAGCTACCTCGAACTCTAGAACTTTTTGTGGAGTCTCTGTTAACAAAGTCGATGCAGATAACACAGTCAAGAAATGCAAAGACTTTAACTCCGTCCCATATGAAGCAATGTATATTATCCGAAAGTCGTTTTGACTTTTTAAAAGACTTAGTGAAAAACATCCCAGACGCCAGTGCACAAGAAGATAACGAAAACAACGCGTTGTTCGAAGCTAATCTACATAAACTCGAAGAATCCAATATAAAACCGGATTCACAGCCAACCTTACCAGAAGATTTGCCAAAACCTGAGATATCAGCAAACTTTTATACAGAGCAAAGTACATCCACGGGCAGAACACCAGTCATCCAATATGGACCTAAAGTGGCACAAATTGAGTCCAAGAAGTTGAGTTTTTCAGTTAATAGTTTGCTTGACCAAACAAAAGAAGAATCTACGCTGCATGTAACTGTAGCCGAACCTGTACCTGTACCTGTACCGCCCTTAGTTCCGGCGAGAAGCACATCTTCAAATAGTAATGTATATGAAAATACACCGCCAGTCAATTGTGACAACATCCCTCCGTTGATACCGATTTCACATCACTATTACAGTCAAAACACAGAAGACAATTTATGTATTGATGAAGACTATGATAATTAGTATTTTAAAAATTATATTCTACTGTTTCTGTGACTTGAGGTTAACGTAATAATTTGTACTACCTGTCCCATTGTTCCATTGCCTGTTATTACTTACTAGTGATTACAATAAAATGTTTATGGAAATGAATATTATGGTTACTAAAACGTTTTGTATTGAATAAAAAAATACATTAGTACATTATGTACAATTTTTAGAAATATTAAATTATTGTTAAGTAAATTCTTTTACAAAATAACGTATCTGTTTTTGAACTCTATTAGGTCTCATTTAATGAGCTTACTGACACATTCACTTATTTTTGACTATTATTGTTACAACAAATGACAGCAAGCTTATTAAACAAAAATTACTGCAAATTTAACACATATGGACACAGCAACACATCATGGCCTTTCTTTTATTAAATTAATTACTGCTGTTTACAACAGAAATAAAACATCATGATTCATGATCCTATTTAATATTACACAATATGAGTCAAATACTTACATTTCATTAAGGTAACTACAATTAATTTACAATTTGTTACAAAGAATCTATTTAATAGTGAATAAATAAAGAGAAATAAGTTAATTATTACAGACTTATTTAATTTTTTAAATACAATTTATCAATCATTACATAAAGAGACAGTACAAGATCTTACATTGTCGCTCAGCTTTAACCATTTACATCAAAACCATGACCACAACTGTCAAAGTGAATATGAAGATCTTAAACATGGCAATTTTTTACATGCTCGCCAGAAACATTTTCAACGGCCGTGAATTCCGTTCAACATTTAGTCAAACTCTCTACTTCGAATAGTGAAAATGGAAAAAAATACAATTTTATATTAAAGTACGCTTTTCATGACTCAATATGAAATCCACAGTGATAAGCTATGGGACTTTTTAATTTAGATATACGGTGCCAATATTTTGATTTTTAATTTCATAAACTGGAAGACAGTACTGACGGCCTTTATCTAGACGAACGTACAAGTGGAGACAATTTCCGCTGTCTAAAAATACAATATATAGTGTACTCTTTTTGAAGACACTTTTATCTCTTCTTTATTTAATTTCTCATTTAGAGTTTTTTAAATATTGTCAGGATATACTATGGTCTTGAAACGACAAGATTTGTCACCTTGCACCTTTTATGGTAACACGGTCATGTTACCATAAAACTTTGTTCAGAATAAAAAAAATTCATACGAAAATAACGTGATTTTTACAAAACTCGATTATTTTTACACAACTGAACCGTTTACATAAACACCTGAAGTTTGTTTTTTTGATTTCTACAATTAACAGTTTAACTTGTGCATCAAACCAACGTGGTGAAAATATGAGTCTTCTATGTACTATGAGGGACATGGAATTCTGGGCAGTCTGTTCTTGTCATTTCAAAAAATGCCAATGTAAATGCACCTTTAGCGTCAATATGATTGATATTTTGTCAGTGTCAAAATGATAAATACGTCAACCATTAAAAGCGTCGTTATGAGTAGCTAAGGTCTGGTTTAGAAATTTTGACAATTGCATGACACCTCTGCCCAGTTTTCCTGTTCCCGATGGCACTAGAAAAGAAAAGTTCACATTACGAAACTTTGACAGATGTTGGATGGCACAATACCTGACTTGATTTTGAACGGTTATGTGTGCTCTGGTTTGTAGTATTTACTACAGATTTAAGTAATAAGTTATATTGTAACCTCCAAGATGAAAAAGTCAAAAAAAATCTTTTCTGCAGGTCTTGTTTGCACTGCAACACCATAGTAGCCCTATATCACAGTGAAAAAGTTTTAGAGTCGCTAAAATGTAGCAGTTTCAGCTACACATACTAATGAAATTCAAAACAATTCTACGTTAAATAAAGAAAATATTGCCATGTCTTCATGAAAAATGGAATACACTGCCGCTACAGCTACATTCAGTTATGCTGTGGTTCCTACTCATTACCAGTTACATCATTTAGTTGCAACTTTCCGACTAAAAAAATATAACACCTACCACTGATCTATCTTAAGAATTATAGGTTTTAGCAGCCTCAATAAAGGCACAGAATTAATTTTTACATTTTTTTTACCACAACCTTGAAATTTACAAACATTCAGCACTTCAAAATAAATGTGGTGCTAGTTACTTTATTACGATGTTAACGGAGACATATTTCTACTAATACAATTTAGACCATAAAAATATAGTTCTGTACTGTACAAAACGTGTTATTAAAATTTTTACAAATTTACTTTACACAAAGGCACAGTTATGCATCCATATGTTTACTAAACTCAAGTTGGTAAATAAGAAATCAAACTAAGTATGACTTGTAAGGCGGATTGTTAATATAAATCAAAGGAAGGAAGCGAAAGCTCTAAATGGTCTATGAAGCTGTTTTAATAATAATAAAAATATAATTCCGTAATTACCAGTGTTGTAAAAACTAAAAACTGGCCGTGTTTTGAACTAAATTCTCATGCTTAAGAGCGGTAGTTTTACAGCGCTGGTAGTTTTTGAAATTGCAAAATGTGATTAGGGTCTATCTGATTTATTATTTTCCAAACTTGCTCAACAAACATATAGTTGGATACAAACGACACTGAACAGCACTTTTGGTACGTAATTTATTTGGAGGTGCTCAGTATTTTAATACGACTTGCAAACACTTATACCCTACCTACACACAAATAATAACTTAGTACGTTTTTATAAATTAACAGTTAATTCACTTAAAAAAACATTAAAAAAAGGGGGATTTTAGTAAGCTGTTTTGAAAATCGTGTGCGGTCTAGCTTTTGTTAAAGACAATAGAAAATGGTTTTAAAAATTGAAATGATGCATCATGTTTGATCAACAAACTAAATTTAGTTAGAAACCACAGCAAAAATGTGATTATAGCTGTATTATTTGTTCTCGTATTGTAATAAAAAATACTAAAATAAATTAGAAGAAATCAGAAGATTTTGTACTATTCCACAACAAGTTATATACATAAATAAAAATATTTACTTCATGAAAATTAAAGCTATCAGCTGTATTCATTGCCTTCATAAAGATTTTCACAAATTTCGAGCAGTCTTAAAACGGGATTAATATTATATGGGAACAAATTCTTTGATACAAGGCGATCAATTTGTATTTTTAGTCTTATTAAAACTGTCATGGTATTGTCAAGTTCATTCGTTCTAGAAGCGCCACCCTCATAACAACTACTTACAAAAACGTCCCAATTTCGTCTTGTATACTTTAAGAATCGCAATAAATACAGCAAAAAGCAAGTTTCATTACTAACTAAATAATCCAAAAGAATCTCTGCATCATGACTAACAATTTTCAAAAACTCTATGAACGAATGTACAGGATTTAACATAGCTATAAAATCAGGAGCTAACGGAGTTTGATACGAAATCCCGGTCTTTATGTCTAAGGTACAAACCATAGCTTCTATCATGTAATCGTCCTGATCACTAAATAAATGAATGAGTATCTTCGAAAACGGAGTTTCTGGATGAAATTCTAAGCTGACTTTAACAAAAACATCGACTTTCTTTAATACATCCCTTATTGAACGAGCTATGAGTTGCATGTCATGTGAAAAATCATAGTCTTCAGATCCCACACTTGAATCTGAACTATCTGACCGCGTCTCCTTGATTGTGATTGCTACGCTTTTCAGTACTAATAAAATCATTTTTTGTAGAAGTGTTTTATCAATGTTTGACTGCGTTGGTTGTGTGCTAGGTATGGTTCCCACAAAACTGTTTACAGTGTAGCCTTCTGATCTTCTGTATGGTAAACTATCTAACAGTCGGAAGTCTTTGACATAACGCACAATCAAATGTGCTAGCTGGCACGTGTCTTCAGGCAACATATCTTGTAAAGCTAATGTGCTTCCATAACACAGAACTTCGTTGAACAATGACAGGAGCTGCTTCCAAATAATTGGTGGTAAGTTACTATTAAGCATTCCAACAAAATTTTCTAAATGGGCATAAAAAGGTTTTGTATCGATCACACTTAAATTAGCTTTAACTGAAATGGTACTTTCCCATAAGGCTAGGAACGTAAGAACACAAGTTTGTGCCTCAACTGAGGAATTATGGGTAATTAAATACTGAACTTTGTTAATCAATTCTGGCCATTTGGATTCCAAACTTTTGATTATTAATCCTTTGATTCCTGATGTATCATAACTTTCTGCATCACTATAAGGAACTGTCACACAGTTTATGTTAATGTCAACATTTTGAGTACTGCTGCCTGCTACATCTGCACTTTGAGGTTCTTCCAAAACATGAATGTCAACATTCTTCCATTCCACTACACGTTTTATTATTTCTAAAGCAAAATTCATTTTCACATAGTCAGTATTCTCAATAGTTAAAAAGCTGACTATTGTTTCAAGCCACTCATTATTTATGTATGTTTTAGCAATTATTAAGAAACTACTAAAAACCTTTGCTGCCAAATAATTTACATATTTGTCTCTCGTTTCACATAGTGACAAAATCTGTTCAACCAAGTTATGTTCATTATGTACAAAAATATTGCAAATATTTACAATTTGTGAACAGATGTGCCCATTATTATTTTGTTTTAAATACACATCAAACAGTAGTTGAACATTCGACAAAAACTGTAACACTTGCTGTGTCGACCACTCACTCAACATTGCTAGTCGACTGCCATTCTCATCTATAATTTGATGACCTTCAAATGGCTTCCTCAAAACACGATCTGGGATACCACAAAGACACTGTTTTACTAAATAACTATGAAACGTTTCAGTTTCTTCTCCTTCTGGATCCACCATCATCTGTTGCTTATTCAAATCTTCAGTCTCCTGCTCATTCTTCTTACCAAAATTTGTACAAATGACCATATTCGGTGCTGCTTGTAAAGAGATATTTTCACAACTTGTAATATGAGCATTTGAATAACAACTACTTGTAGGATAATCCTTTCTGTCATCTTCAGTTTTGTCTTCAATGCACTTTTCATCACTTTCACTAAGTTCACTAGTCCGAAACACCGACTTACTCCCATGAAACTCTAAATTCACTGCATTCAAAGTAATATCATCCTCATTAACGTTTGCAGGAAACAGGTGGAACGCTGATAAATCGTTTGCTACCCCATTCTCTGTGATGTGAATGAAATCTGTTTCATCTGCTGAATTTGAACTGTTACCTCGTCTTAACTTCTTCTTCAACGGCTGTTCTGAGGCCATTTTATTCTTCTGGTGTCTTTGAACCATTAGAGCGAACAAATGGGGACAAAGGGGGCAACACATGCAAAAATTTACTAAGCATTCCAGCCCACTACCTGAAAAATGCAAACAATAATTTTTGTATGAAAACATTGGGTTGCAAGGTATCAAAAGAAAAATAAAGGAAAAGTGTACAAATGTGAAACTGAATAAGTCCAATGTGATCTTTTAAATGCTAAAACTGCGATATTTTCTTAGTAATGTGAAATCTTACCTGCCTGATTTTTGTGTGTAACAATTTTATCCAGTAGTTCGTTTGAGTGTGGCTTTGGTACACTCTAAAAAGCTCTTCTGACGACTTCATTTGGACGTTGTGTTATTCTTGGTCATAAAAAACATGTTTTCAATTCATTTTCATGATAAAAAATTACTAAAATAAATAATTGTTTTTAAAAAACACAAAATTTATACACACACAACTCCATTGCGTACAATATGCTGCGCTAGTCATATGACAGTCCGTGTTCATAATCAATGAAAAAAATGCATTTTCAATTTTTGCGAAAACATTGAAAAACGGCGATGACACCAGAAGACAACAGTTTTACTGTAAATTCCGTTATTATACTAAACTGATTTTAATTTCTGTATTTTCTTCCGTCATTAGTTTTTATTTTGATGTGCTTGGGTGAAGAATGTGCGATGTTGCCAAGTTTTCGGCTACCATTCATAGTAATAATTTTTAATAGATTTATTAAAAACATTTAGCTAAAAAGTGTACGATAGAAACCCGACCCCAAAAAATCAGTATAATTTTTTACAATAAATTCATGTAAAAAGTATTTGTAATAATCTATAAAGTCTCAAAATTCTAATAATATGACTGTGTCCATTCATGCTGTGCGTAACACGGGAGATGGTTAGACAACTTTATTAATTTTATTCATTCTTATATACCGATCGTATCTCTTTAATGAGGTTTTGAGAACACCTTTTACTGGTTTTTCATATTTAGATTCAAAATAATGTTCGCAATGTTGGGATTACAATCGTTATTGTGTTCGTCCCATTATTATAATAAATTGTAATGATTAATATTAAATGTTTACGCAGATAATGAAAACAAAAAATCTTTTGGGGGTCAGTGGCTGGACTGATGATCGGGTTTGTGCACATTATTTATTGCCATATAGTACGAACTAAAATTCTCAACAATTATTTATTAAAAATATCCACATACAGTGCCTTCTTTTTAATGCTAGCCATAGGGATTTACTTGCTAAAACTTTGGGTCATCTAATACGTTTTCTAGCATGAATTTTCAAGTGAAATTGGGCAGAATATTAGACTAGTAGGTATTTTAAAAATTAATTTTAGTTCATATATTACCTCCAGAATAATTTCGGAATAATAATAAAAAAACTACATTATAAATTCGTTATAGATATATTGCATGTAACAATGAGGTAGAATAGTTTGGTATGTAATTATTTTGACACTTGGTTAGGGACTCCTAGGCAAGCAATACCTATGTAACGAGATGTTTTGTTTGTTTTTTTTTATTCCGTAATTATTTATTAGTTCTGTATGATAAAATGAATTATAACTGATTGATAAAATACTAACTGAATACTCCAAATTTTACTTGAATATTTTTGCTAGAAAACTTTTTAAATATTCCTATGGTCAGAACAGCTCCTTTTATTCATAATCTGCCGTTTTACTAATTTAGTATTGTATGTTATATCTACATAATCTGAACCAATTTGAACTTTCAGTAGCAATAATGAATAACTTTTTTTTTAATTTATTTTTCTAAAGAAAAGAGAAGACGTTTATTAAAAAAAAACTTTGTTTAACATATCAACTTTTAATTTAATAAGATTAAATACATTTTAGAAACAGAGTACGTGTTATAACGGGTGTCTCTTTTATTTGATACAATCCCTGTAACTTTTTTATTCTTAAAGATAAACCTGTAGCTCTTTGAGCAAATTTGTATTATTTTAAAAGATCTATGTGATACTAACAATTTTTCAATTGGTTTTCAAGTAACCAGATTTTGAATTAAATGGAAAATATTTGAGATATTTTACTAAATAACTTTTTTATTACTGATTTTAAAATATTGGTTGCTTTTGTTTTTTTTTTTGGAGTAAAAAAATCAATCTTTCCATTTATGAAAAAATATACCCAATGTTCCATTAAAAAAATTAAGTTGACGTTATTTTCGGTTCTACTGGAAGTGATAATAAAAATGTGTGGTTACTACCACTTAGATCTTTTAAAATGATACAAATTTGTTCAAAGAACTAACGGTTTATCTTTAACAACAAAAAAGTTACAGAGATTGTATCAAATAAGAGTTACCTTGTATAAAGAATCATCAACTTTTTACTTAGTCACCGGTAGCTGTTCTATTACTATTGATTCTTATAAAGCTTCGGTCAGGGCTGTTTTTGGTGCATTTCAGCGTAGTAACAACCTTAAGCATTAGTTCTTCTGTAAAGTCATTATCATATGTTTGTAGTACAAATTAACTATTTTATGTAGAACAATTTGTAATTATTATTTTATACCATTTTTGAGAATATTATACTTTGTTATCAAAAAAGTACAAAAAAATCTAAAATTATTTATGAGAAATACTTCGTCTCCGAAATCTCATGAACACTACAGCATTTTTTTTTTATTTTTTATTTATTTAATAATATTTAAAATATGTAATGGGAAATATTTAAGCCACATTTGATGAGCCGTTTCTGAAGTTCCTCTTTTGTATGTAAAATTAAAATAAAATTTTCAATGAATCAATAAATCTACTGATTTTAGTATACATCATTAGTTCATTACATTACTGTGTAGCTAGAACTTTTACGTTTTTACATAGTAATAATAATTAATAAAATAAATCAGTTCCTGATTTATTTTTTGGATCATTCTTTACAATCAGTTCTAAAAAATAAACTCATAGCGTTCGGGTGCAATTAACATTATGTTTTAGGACATAATTTTCAATAAAAATTTGTTCAATAATTTGTTGAAATGATGTCATCGGTTTTCTGAACGAAATAAATAAAATATATTTTAGTAAAATATAGGTCAATAGTTCAAAAAGTTTTTGAAAAATGTCGTCTGTAACCCTTTTCGCTGATGTTGGAGCAGAAATGTTTAAGTTAAAAAGGCAAAAAAAAATTATCTCATCTGAAAATTTAATAACTTCATTAAAAATAATAATAACAATAATAAAAATAAATATCAACTAATAAAAAATATGCCTGATACCCAATGCTATGTGTGTTTTGATAACATATTTTTAATTTTTTGGAATTACTTATTTACATATGTCTGTAGGAACGGTTTATCCAATTTTTCTGAAAGTCTCTAACAACATTTTCCATATTAAATATATTTAGACTGTATCGTTTAAAATTTTGTACATATTTGTTCTCATCAGAAAAGATGACGTTATAACAAAATTTCGATTTAAATCTGCGGCAAAACATGTTGCTCGATTTGTAATTTAATAATTTAAATAACTCTACTTTATTTTAATATTATTAACAACTATCATAAAAAAATTACAGAAACAAAATTTACGATTTATCGAAAAAAACTTACCGAATTCCATCAAAATTTCTTATAGAATAGTAATTGATGTTGATTAAGTAATTATCTTAATAAAATAATTGTAATTCATACATGTATTTATTTATCATTTCATGTCAATGACGTCATTTTAAACTTTGATACACCAGGTGGTTGAAGACATTTTTGTAAATGCATCTATTTTAATTAGGAAAAGACGGGAATATACAGAGTAGGGCTAAATTGTGAAACAAATATCTTCGTATCGTACGTTTTCCAAATTCTTAGATTAATTAGATTAGAGATTTAGCGCCCGTGTCATTTTTTTTAAACTTCACACTAAAGACAGCTAAAGATTGATAATTATGTCATCATTACGTGCTTTCTTTTTTTAACAATGGATGGTAAATGTACTCAGTACAACATAAGGTAGAAAATAGGGCCTTGGTGGGCAAATGATGCCTTCTTGTCTGTAAATCTACTAAATATGCTGCTGTTTCCTAATTTGTGTGATTCCCTTAACAATACGTCGATAAACATAACAGATTGCAAAGAAAAAGTAGAAAAATGCAACCTACAGGTGAGTCACACTGACTTTCGGTATGTCACCAAAAGAGGTCTCTGACAAAACGAATGAAAATATTTTGCAATTGATAACGTAAATAAGCACTTTTTGATTGATTTACGGCTATATCAGTCGTTATCATAAGATATACCATGCAGAGTAGTAATTTTATGTATAATTTGTTACTTCCTGTATGTAAAATAATGGGAGGGTACGAGGTGCAACTGCAACACTCATTGGACTCAGTGGGGGAGTTGTAAAAATGGCTACCAAAAGTTATCAATGAAGTGTATTTTAAATGGCCAAATAATGTTGATAATTTACTGCTGATCTATTTGACAAAGGTGAATCATTATTGTTTTGTTATTATAGTGTTTGTTTATGTTCGTTTCGTTATATTTAAACGGAAACTGTGGCAGTTACAGATGATGTTTGTATATAGGTTAAACTTCGTCCTTTCATATCGTCTAATATTAAATATATCCCTTATTTTTGCAAAGAAGCATACAAATGTTGGCGGTTTTCTTAAAAAGGGTTCGCATTGTATGCTGTAATAATTGCAGGAATTTGCATTTACACAAAATGTGGAGAATTATTTGACTGGTTGTTTTTGCCATAGTAAAACTATTTTTAACGGTGATTAACTATACAAGGTTTCAATTTTTAATGAAAATTTATGTTTGCCAATTTTATCGAATTCAATCGCAATTTCCATAATACTTTGTGTACCACCGCACAAGTATCTCAAGTTTTATTTTGTGGTCAGTGATAATTGATAGCTATGGTTTGTGTTGAGGTCTTACTTACTGATTTGGTTTCTTTCAAACATTTTTTCCAAAACCACCGTGGATTTGTAATACTTGTAGGCTGCAATAAGAACATGAAAAAAATGTTGTGTTTTGAAGTAAATTTATCAAGGATGGAGGTCCATCAAAGTGACATTGTCACATAGTATTTGTTAACAGGTAAAATAAATATTATCTTCATCAAAATTCTAGTGTAGGAATGATCGATATTATCTGATGTGTTAATTTCTTTAATAATTCCTTTTTAATCATGTTTGGTACACAATATATATATTTGTTTCAGATGGTACTGCTGCACAAGACAAATGAGTGAAAATAGTGTGGGGGCCATGCCGGGCGTGGCCGGGGCAGGGGAAAGACGCCTTCGACAACTGGAAGCTCTTTTCCTTGGAGGTCCTATAGTGGCCAAGGGACAGAGTTTCAGTATAGAAACTCTTATTGACATTCTCATAGTTCTCTATGACGAGTGTTGTAATTCTAGTTTACGCAAAGAAAAAACTGTTTCAGACTTTATTGAATATGGTAAGCTGTTAACTTAATTGCTTGGACTGGGAGGTATCATTGTTTGTTTGTAGTTAAACCTGTAGCTAATTCTGTAAAGTCTCTGAGATTAACGAGGGATGATTTTGAAATAATTAAAGTTATTGGTAGAGGAGCTTTTGGTGAAGTTTGTGTAGTAAAATTTAGAGGTTCTGAAAAAGTTTTTGCAATGAAAATATTGAACAAGTGGGAAATGTTGAAAAGGGCGGAAACGGCGTGTTTCAAAGAAGAAAGGGATGTGCTGGTTTATGGAGATCGAAGGTGGATTACACATTTACATTATGCATTTCAAGTAAGGCTGCAATGAGTATGATCATTTTTAGTTTGATTTTTATGTCTTTGTAGGATGAATCTAATTTATATTTAGTTATGGATTATTATTGTGGTGGAGATTTGTTAACCTTATTAAGTAAGTTTGAAGATCGTCTTCCTGAAGATATGGCACGTTTTTATATAGCAGAAATGGTTTTGGCCATTGACTCTATACATAAACTTCAATATGTACACAGAGATATTAAACCTGACAATGTATTACTTGATGCAAATGGTCATATTAGACTGGCAGATTTTGGTAGTTGTTTAAGATTGAATGAGGATGGCACAGTACAATCAAATGTAGCTGTGGGTACTCCAGATTATATTTCCCCAGAAATTCTTAGAGTAAGACACCATATTTGTTAAATTAACATATGTTTATATTCATTTTTATTAGGCTATGGAAGATGGGCAAGGTAGATATGGACCTGAGTGTGACTGGTGGTCTTTAGGTACAACAGTACAAAGAGGTGAAAAAACATCCTACTATTTTTTTTTTTTAGGAGTATGCATGTATGAAATGTTATTTGGCGAGACACCTTTTTATGCTGAGAGTTTGGTAGAAACGTATGGAAAAATAATGAATCACAAAAATTGTTTTGATTTTGCTACTGACGTTGACGTATCTGACGCAGCCAAAGATTTAATCAAACAACTAATATGTAGTCAAGAATTTCGGTTAGGGCAAAATGGAATTCAGGATTTTAAGGTAAGAAACTCGTATCACATAGTGTTATAACACTGAAATAACATAACTTTTATTGGAGACAGGTAATACATATTGTATAGTATTAAAAAAACATACATGAAATTAATTTATTCCTCAATTTATTTGAATTATCTTTATCATTCTTGGTTTTAATTAACAATAAGTGTTGAAGAATAATTAAATAAATAACAATAAACAATAAAAATCGTGCCTGATTCAGTTATTTTAATTATAAAGACGAAAATCACCACTTCAATTTCCAGGAACAGTAAAAGTTCATGGAGTCTCACCCTGAAATGCGAATTTTTTAGTCGAAAAAACTACCTAATAACGACAGTTCCGCCTATAATGTTTGTGACGTCATATCGACCTCCAAAACCACAAGCGCTGTAATTGCAATTTGTAATTGACAGCTTTGTTAAACTTCACAATGCCGACTCGTCATGAGTTGGTTGTGATAATAGTTCAAAAAAGTCCATTACTTTACATAATTTTCCTAAAGAGGACAAAGAAAAATACGTCATTCAATACAGTAAAGGGCACGATATTTAAGACGGTTGTTATTCTGTATGGAAAAACAGAAAAGAGTTATTTCTCTCACTTTGTCACGTACTAATAAAATTTCATGGAAAAGAATGAGTCAACTAGCTTTTGCCAACATGAGTTGCTTTATTTAATTAGATGATAAATAGTAATGGTGGACTACAATTTTACTACTGGGGGAATTTGAAATCGTGCGAATTTTTTAGCAATGGCTGAAACAACAGGAACTCTATTGATTGGAAGAATTATTTGTCATCCAGTAATAGTCAGTTTACGTGGCATTGAGTTTTGAGTATTTAGAAGAGAAATTTTTTACACTTTATGTATACTGTTATAACTTGAATTACTGCATTAAAAAAAAAATGTTTCGGAAAACTAGTAAAAATGAGGTACTACCATTAAAAAAATGGTCTGCAGAGTTCAGAGAGTATTACCCTTACCCCCTGAAATATGATCAATATTCAAGTATGTCAGACATTTTATCAAGCATTTATGTAGCCTATTGTAATGTACTGCAAGACATTCATGTACAACATCCATATAAGTTCCAGTGTCATTATGAAATGTGTAAAGAATAATAAAATGTGTTAATTATTTGATGTTTATCTCTGTATTATATTTGAGAGAGAAACGAAATACCAATGTCCATATTTATTTGGAGAAAAAAACCAGTGCATCATATTGTCAAAATTCTAAGATTTTTTGCTGGAATTTTGTGCATTTTTTTCTTCACTATTCCCTTCATTTTGTCATTCATTAATATACTTGGCAGAATTACGAGATACATCACCAAATTCTTGATGGGGATGCGCAAATAAATTTTGGTCAGCATTTTACCATCTATTGTATGACCAAACATATAATGCGAATTCGGCTTCAAGCCCCTATCGACTTTCATTAATTTTTTGATCGGGCTTAATCGCACACCCTTGTAAACTTGTCGCAGTCCAGATGGTTGGGAGGGGATTTATCGAGATGGACCGTAATAATTTTTTTTATAAAAACAAGTTGTTTACAAGCTTTAAGTAGGTAGTTGGTAGTGTAGTGATGGTAGTGAATAAAAATTTGGTATATTTATAGTAAGTGCAAATTCTTTATGTTCGATAATAATTGTACGCAAGTACGGTCCTATACATATTGCCCAAGATAAAGGTCGGGATAAGTAGACAAGTTTACAACGGTAGGCGCTTAAGCCGTCATAAAAATTAGCAAAAGTCAGTAGACGCGTGAGGCATAGTTCGCACAATATTTCTGGTCTGCAATACATGGTAATGCTAAAGTTTAGGTAAAATTTCTCGGTAATTTCGAAGATTACGTGTCCAATAAAATCTTCGCTCGACAGATGACAGACTACAGACATACGGACAGATAAATTGTTCCCTAGTTAAATATGCGAGATTTACTTTTATGGATTGTCTAGTACGTACGGTGATGAGCGCCCAAGCAGTCTCGATTGCGAAATATCTAGAAACGAGCGGTGGCTGTTTAAATCGAGTCGGAATTATTCTGCATAGCTATTCGTGTAGTTTTTCTATTACTGTGAAATAAATTGTTGAATTTTACCCACGCCGATTTTAAACAGCCGTAAATCGTAACAATATTCTTGTATAAACAATTCCAAAAAAATATGAATGCATTGATAAACCACAGGTATAAACTCATAATTTGCACTTTTAGATTGGATTTATCCAGCAAAATTTTGAGATGACATTATCAAACAGATAAAATTTGAACGATTTACCATGCATTTTGCAGGTTTCAAATGTTTACAATTTTTTTTTTGAAAAAATCTGTGGTGTTGAAAGTAGAAAGTCAAGGTGAATTCATAAGCCACAAGTATAAAAGTATGTTGTTTTATAAAATTTAAACAGCATTTACTATGCAAAATTTTGAGATGACGTCATCAAATTGTTGTTGGGGATGATCAGATAAATTTTAGAGTAAGTTTTACTATTTAATCAGTCCAGTAGTGTTTGGAATTGTCTGCTTAATAAAATCGTCAACAAATTGCTGACAGACGGAAACGGGAGACCTATTTTTTCACACTCTAGAGATCATGAAACGTCGAAAAAACATGGAATTAGCCGTTCGCCGGGTTGACCCTATTCAGTTCCTCCCTAACGTAAGCTAGGCAAGCAAAAACATTTACTTTATTTGACATATAAGTGCGGTCTACGTTTTTGTAGCAGAAATTTGTGCGAGTTTTTGTTGCAAAAAGTACGTTTGATACAGTGTAGTTTGTTTCGGGCAAGATTTTTAATTTTAAAAGTTTGTGTCGAGTTTCAGTGTTTTATACCAAATGAGAATGAACCCTCATGGTAATTTTATATGGTGAAACCTTGGATAATGGTCACAGGCAAAACATCTGAACAGTAATTAGTTTTAGGGACATCGTCTTCCCCGTTCGTAGTTTTTTATGGGGTCAAATTTCAATTATGTGCATGATATGAATTAGGGAGACAGTGAACATTTGTTGTACATAAGTAAATTTACTCACGTACGTACACCAACTTTTTATTGACACGCGAGATTTTGTAATAGTTCCAAGTTACCTTATGTTGTTTTTTTTTTTCGTTTTAACACTTGTAAACGTCTACTAAGTAATGTGAATGTCTGACAGTTAATTTCCAAAACGACTGGATTGATTATTTTGAAATTTTAGGTCTGCGTTATTTCAGTACGTTATGTACGGGAGTTTCGCAAAAAAATAATCAAAACATTCTTTATAATGAAGATTACGAAAAAAACGTAATTTTTTAAGTAAAATTGGCAACACTGCACGCACCTAATGCGTGAATTACCTCTGGCTTACTTTCTGATTTCTTAATAACGATGGTGACTAGAATCCACCTTTAATTTTTTTAAGAGGTCATTAAACGTTGTGCATTATTATTAATAAAACAAGCGGTTATTTTTCCTTAATAAATAAACAAAAAAAAAACATTTAACTTGTAAGTAAGCTGGTAATGTCTCCAAATTTTGATCATTTTTTGTAAAAGTTAGTTACCAGTACATGCTAAGATTAAACTGAATTTGGCAGTGACATACCCTCTAAGAAAAGAGAGGGTGGGTAGGCGGGGCTAGTACCTGCTAAGGGAAAACTGATTTTGGCAAATGACGTACCCTCTAAGAAAGAGAGGGTGGGTCGGTGGGGCTAGTAGCTGTTAAGATAAAACTGATTTTGGCAAATGACATACCCTATAAGAAAAAAGAGAGGGTGGGTGGGTGGGGTTAGTACCTGCTAAGAGAAAACTGATTTTGGCAAATGACGTACCCTTTAAGATGTTTAATCAAATTATTATAAGAAAAGACACTTGAGGCTCCAAAGCACTTTCAAATTATTTCCAAACAGGAATACCCAGACCTCAAGATTGTTTGAAATTTTTCAAAACAAAAAGTCGGGATCCCAAAAAATTAACTCAAAAACAGGTCCGGTCAGAATTTTCTAAAAATAGGACACCAAGGTCTCCCAAAATTGTTTTAAATAATTTACAAAAAAAATTATACGCTCCCAAAATAATACACCATGGCTACCCAAGAGTCTCCCTAATTAAAAAAAATAAACCACCAAGACTTTTTCAAATTCGTAAAAAGTAAAACACTTAAAGTTCAAAAGATTTTTTCAAGTTCATCCAGCAACAAAACACCAGATTCATTTAAATTTATCCGAAAATAAAGCACAAGGGGACCTAAAATTAACTGCGAGCATTTTAAACGTAGGGTTTTGAAAACTTTGACAATTTTTGATACGTCAAACATTTTTAACTGCTTATTCGATTTTTGCTGATTTGTATAAAAACAACACAACCATATCTTTCTAACTGAAATGGTAACTAAACATGGTCATTGGCAAGGAAATATGGATCTTGCAATTATGGGGCAGAGCCTAATTGCAAAACCGAGATTTCCTTATACAAATTTTCCATTTTAAACATGTTTTAATTTTCATGTTGTGAAAAGAAGTCTACACATATTAAATAAAAAAATAAATAAATGTATTGCCCAACAGGCTTTATCCATTTATAGGACAATATATAGGTAAAGTAAAATAAGATACAGCTCGAGGATATACAGAATTAAAACAAAAACTAATAATAATAATAATATTAAAACAAAAAGGCAAAATATAAGCCCGCCCACCCGCCCTATTTCTATTGTGATGATTTTTTTATTCGCCGTTAACCAAGCGAAAGGAGCTTAACTGCAAAATACGTATTTCTTTACAAGAAATTAAAAACATGTTTTTGAGTATCGTGTTGTTCAAAGAATACTATGCATATTAAGAAAAAAGACAAAATATAAACCCCGCCCATCCAACCCATATCAATTGTGATTTTTTTTATTCCGAGTAACTTAATACACTTTTAAAATGGTAAATTTTTGTAAGGAAACATGGATTTTGCAATTAGGCTCCGCCCCTAGCTTTGCCAACGAATGAAAACTTCATTACTATTTAGATCAGCGCAGGTATGTGTGGGGCTTAATCTTTGGCTTTCATTTTTTCTTAATATGTACATCGTATTTTTGAATAAGACGATACTCAAAAACATGTCTTACATCGTAATTTCTTGTCGAGAAATAATAAAGATTTTGCAATTAAATTCCGTTCCTTTGGCTCTCGACGATTAAGAAAAAAATCATCACAATTGAGATAGGGCGGGTGGGCGGGGCTAATATTTTACCTTTCTTCTTAATATACGTAGGCGTCTTTTCAGAACAAGAAACTTAAAACATGGTTAAAATAGCACAAGTGCAAAATCTATATTTTCTTATACAAATTTTCCATTTTAAACATGTTTTAAGTGTGTTGTTCTGACAAGAAGTCTATACATATTAAAAAAAAAGGCAAAATGTAAGCCCGCCCACCGATCCTACCACTATTGGGATGATTTTTTTATTCGCCGTGAACCAAGGGGGCGGAGCTTAGCTGCAAAATTCTTATTTCTTTACAAGAAATCACAAACATGTTTTTAATTTCTCGTAGAAAAATGAGGATTTTGCAGTTAACTAAACGTTTTATTACTAGTTATTGTGATAATGAATGTGTTGTTTAGTTGTTAAACGTAGCAAAAGAACCAATTTTAAAATCATTGTAACTCCAATATTTGAGAAGGAATTTTTTTACTATTTGTCCCACTCATCGGGTGATTGTTAAAAGCATAGCGGAGAGTTAATCCGCCATTTTCCAGACACCCGGTATAGTAAGATGCCAACAAACATTTTATGCCGTTATCTCAAAATTTTGCTGATTACTTTTTTATCTGTGGTTCAGTAACATCTATAATTTCAAATGACGTGTACGGGTTGTGGTGAAAAAATAGAATAAAATTTTAAAATTTGTCGTGGAACCTACATATACAACGCACTTTTTGAAATTTTCGTAAGACACTAACATTGATGAATTTGATTACGAACATATTTAAAATATTTAAGGGTGACATTCATTGTAATGTTTTGAATAGATGAGGTATGTTTTTGTTGGAACTTCATCGCAAATTGATAAATAAGTATTGAAATATCCTTTCGATCCCAAAGTAATTTAGGGTTATCTTGGAACCGAAAGTGTACTTATTCCAATACTTACAACTTTATAAAATTGTATTGTTTGAATACGTAAGTTCATTCGCTTAATGATTTTCTCACAGATGTAGATGTTATATAAGTAAAATATATATGTATGTATATTTTCAAATTTAAAATTTAAATCGATTTTATTTGGTTTGATAATACTGGATATTGTTTATTTTTTAATGAGAAGACCGATGAGTTCGAAATGAAAATGCACAAGACGTAATATCTACAACTATGATTATTAGTTTTTAAATTATCTTTGCCTGTGATGATGACTGTAATATGAATCTCAAGATACATTGTTCCGCCTTTGTAATCTTGGTTTCAAATGTTTTATATTTTGAAACTGTAAAGCCAAAGGTACATCAAACTCGAAAAGTAGCATGAGTCCCTCCAAGTAGGTTGATTCTGCTAATCTTTAAAATCATCAAGACGGGTTGATGTGGAGAAGATCCTACACATTAATTATCAAACTGGTGGTACACTTAAAATTTCAAGTGTAATAATGTATCTTTCAGTGATATTTCTTTAGTAATCTGAGGCACAAAAAAGAACATTTAACTTGATTTACATGATTAGCTCAGATTGAAATGATAGTATGTATTTCTCATTGTAGAATCATCCCTGGTTTGAAGGGGTAGACTGGGACGGTATTAGAGATAGTAATGCGCCTTATATTCCCGAAGTTTCAAGTCCCACAGATACATCTAACTTTGATGTAGACGACGCTGATATCCGATTGTCAGACGCTATGCCTCCAACTGCCAATAATGCCTTTACGGGACTTCATTTGCCGTTTGTAGGCTTTACTTTTACGCAAGGAAGGTACTGTCTTATAAGTTGTTGTTATATTTCTCTTAAAATCATTTTACAGTTGTATTTCTGACTTAAGCAATCTTTATACAAATTTAACTAATAACCTAACCGAAAAACAAAACAAGCGCAATAATGGCGAAATTTTAAGTTTAAATTTGACCCAGGAAAAAGATATAGAGAAAAGAATGTCACCAGACGGTACGAGAAAGCTACAGGACGAAATTAATGTGTTAACGAAACGAAACTGCGAACTGGAGTCACAGCTAAAGAGTTTTGAAGCTGGCCATTCAAAAGAGATGTTCATAGATTCTCTAGATGGTGCTGAAAGTGGTACATAACAAGACTAACCCTCTTAGTTAGTGTTTAATGTATATTTTGTAGCACGGGTGAAGGAATTGGAAAAATTGAATCGAATTTTAAAACAAGAAAAAGATGAAGCACAGAAGGAAAAAATGGATCTTTTTGAAAAATTGAAGTTTCAAGATAAAGAACTGAAAGATGCGTTGGCACAAAAGAAATTAGCTATGGCTGAATACACTGAAGTTTCAGACAAGTTGTCAGAATTAAGACAGCAGAAACAAAAGTTCAGTAGACAAGTGCGAGATAAAGAAGAAGAATTAGAAACTGTTATGCAGAAAGTCGATTCTTTAAGAAACGATATAAGGCGAGCGGAAAAATTGAGAAGAGAATTAGAATCTCGAGTCGAAGAAGCTTTGGCTGAAGCTACGAAGGAAAGAAAGTTACGAGAACGTTCCGAGGAGTACTGTCGACAGATGCAAGCGGAATCGGACAGGTTAAGAGTAAGGAGTGAACTAGGCCCCCGAGATCAACAAGATTCGCTAAGGCTTAAGGCTGAGCTGGAAAAATTAGAGGTATAATAAATAAGATATAGTATTTAAAAAAAATAACATTTTTTGTGTAGGTTCAGTATAACGAAAGTTTAACACAACAACAGGCCAGGTATAATTTGGAAATATCATCACTACGGGAACAACTTCACGAGGCAGAATCACATAGAGAACTCCTTGAACGAGAAGTATGATATATTTTATTTGATCGTTTTTATGTTGTTTGTGTTGTTTATTTTTTTTCTGAAAACGTAGGTTCAAAATCTGAAAGAAAAACAAGAAAAACATAGGGTAGAAGCTATTTCCGATTCTGAACAAATGATTGCAGAGTTAAATCGTAGACACGAACGTGATAAACAGATTTTGTTGGAAGATAGTCATAAACTTACATCAAATGTAGAGTTTGTGAGTTTTTTTTTGTTTTATTATTTCCTAATTTTTAAATGTCTTGTTTTTGCAACATATTTTAATTCTTTGATTTCGTTAGCTGACTGAGTCCGTGGAACGTTTGCAATCCGAAAGGGCCACTTTGGAAGCGGAATATGAACAATTGCGCAACAAACAGGAAGCTTTGGGACAGTGGGAATCACAATTAGCAGAGATAATCCAGTGGGTTAGTGACGAAAAAGATGCAAGAGCTTATCTCCAAGCTCTCGCTACTAAAATGACAGAGGAATTAGATTACCTTAAACATGCTGGTAAGTTAGGATTTTGTATATTCAATGTTTTTCTATTCTTTTGACACAGGAGTATCGAATGCTATGGGAGGTACTGACAAAAACTGGAGGAATAGGAGATCTCAGAAACTAGATAAGATGGAATTGCTGAATCTTCAAAGCTCCTTGCAGTCGGAAATACAAGCTAAGCAGGCGATTAATGAAGAACTGAGTAAAACAAGAGAGGCCTTATTAGAAGCTCAAAAGTGAGTTATACTTTCTCGCATAGTTTTAACGTTTATACTCGATTGTATTTTCGTATAGGGAATTGAGAGATTCAAGACAACGAAATGAAGCGTTCGCACTGGATCTCAAAAGGAAAGAAAAACAGGTTAAAGATATGCAAAATCGCCTGGATTCAGATGGATGTAAGTGTTGCACATTAAGTTTCACCGATATTTTGATAATGGTTTTTTGCCAAAAGCATTCTATTTTTTTTATCTCTTATTACTTCAGTTACAAACGTGATGCTTGTTTAACTTTTTTGTTGAAATTGTTTGATTTGTTAGAAAAGTCAAACAGTTTTAGACAACACTGTGGCCACAGAATATTTATTTTCATTGGTGGCTACAGTGTATATTAGCACTCCTAGGCGGGTGGTAATTATGTATGTATGTACAGTCGGTTCGTGGTTGAAACACCTCCCCCTGGTCATTGGGATTACGTCGTGCTTCTGGGGCATACTGTTATTCTTCATGCGTCTCTACAGTTGAAATGAACCTATATGAGTCCTAACGAAACATTAATCTCATAACACGATAAGAACATTTTTTACATATTACAAAAATTCATGCAGTTATGTGTGATGGAATGAGGTGATAAATAGTTGTATATAATGTGTGAAATAAAAAGAAATACTACATTTTTTAACAAATATTTTTAAAACATCTTTACAGAACCATTAAGTTAAAAAAAATCAGCTTCTGGAAGAGAATTTTTTTCCAAGTTATGTAATAGATATTGGTTAGTGACCATTAGACCTGTGTGATGAAGTAAGGATAGTTATAAAAAAATATTAAGAAATGAAATACTACATTTTTAATGCTAATCATACAACGAGTTAATTACGAGTGTTAAGTATGTATTCAACATGTTATGTGGTCACTACATTTAATAACCTGTTGAATTGGTGCCCTCCAATTTTTGGTTTCAAATGTAGCAATAATACGTTTTTTTCTGTCAATTGCTCTCGTCTTGTAGTATAACAATTATTACCAGTATCCGACGGGCTTCACTAGAAGACCCTCAAACAACTCTCCTAAACACGGTCACAAAAGGCTTTGTTTAAAAATCTGCCGTGTACAGACTGAGTTTGGACTGGGTTAAAATTTAAGTGATTGCTCACTGAGAAGAACATGTGATTGTTGTTTATACACTTTTCTGTTGATGTTTTTATTTTTTTTATTTGGTGGTAAAAAACTGTAAGTTCTCCTTTTTGAAAGAAAATAAAAAAAAAGTATAGGCATAAGTGCCTATAAAATAACGAAAAATATGGCATACTCGTAAATACATGTAAATACATATTTATTTAAAAAAATACTCAAAACGCCGAATAATAAGACTATTAATGTGCGCTTCATGTGTCAAAAAAAATGAAAGACGAAGTTCACACGATAACCTGAAAATTGAAAGTCTAAGAAATTTCGGCGGGATGTGTGAAAATATTTTCGTTTGTTTAGAAATGCAACTTATGTTTCTTGTTTTTGAAATAACTTACAATATTATGGTTTAAAATGTTTCTCATAAGAGAACGGATGGAAAATATTCTTGTCTCTCTTTCATTTCTCATCGGATTTCGAGATAGGGTAAAAACATAAATAATATAAAATAACAGTTACAATTATTTTGTCGTTGCGTATATTTTTAATCGCTTAATAACAAATTTTATATTTTTAAATTAGAAAAAAACATTAAAGTGACAGTAAAAATAACAACTTTTGTGGTACACTAATGCAAGATTTGGCATGCGAAGCCAACATAATAAACTTATTAGTTTTTTTTTCATAATTAAGTTTTTTAAAAGACTGATTTACAAAAAAATATCGGAACAAACAATTAAAGCAAAATATGAAAAACGACAGAAAACTGAAAACAACCAAGACGACAAGAAGGTATAAGTAAGAGTGGAATATGTGGTCGGCGTTTTGAGTATAGTAAGGAAGTACTGTAAAAGGGCCCATCCAGCGAATGGCTACTTTCCTGCTTTCTTGACGTTTCATGACCCCTAGAGTACGAAAATGTGGGTCTTCTGTTTCCCTTTGTCTGCTCTCTCTATTTTTCCAAAAATTTGGAAATCCTGTAATGTTATTACTAGTATTCGACTGCACGTATCCAAATTGACACAACGTACGTTTTTTTAAGCTTTGTGTTGGTAACATAAAATTTCCCCATATATCTAGTAATTTTTCTCTGTTGGTGACATCTGTCATATCAAAACTGAATTTTACGGAAGCACCAAGAAAATTAAAAATTTAAAAATCCCCCGCAAAGAAAATGGTTCCCGTTTCAAGTCCGGCGTTAATGAAATTCTTCTAACCACAAATTTTAAAATATTTTGTAAATGGAAAAATGTGCTTAAAGAAACTTTTTTATTATGCACATATCCTTATTTAGTTTACAGGGGTTACAAAAAGTAAAATTTCGCAAAATCAGGTTTTATAATTTTTCGGAAAAGTTGGGCATACTCTACTTCAGGGGCAAGGGAACTTCTGTCTAAATAACCTTACATCAATTAAAAAGATTAAAATATATTTTTTGAAGATTTGAAATATTTGATGTGGTCACCATCCTGAATTATATTTTATAAAACTACGCGCAATTAGAGTCGTACAATGAAATAAGATTTTAATAAATTAGTCGGATGAAACTAATTTTAGAAATGTACTTTTTTATGTTCAAAAAATTAAGTTTAAACAAAAGGAAGTTAATGTTCTCAGTTATGTTCATTAAAGGTAACTAGAGAAAATATTTTCTTTATCTTTAGGATTGGAAAAGCTGTTAGAAAAGTTAAAGGGTCAACGTTTTAGCATTTTTAGTCGTAGAAATATTTTTAGTTACTAGAAAACGATGCACGAAATTTTGTGTCAACAGCAAATCGCTACCTAGAAGTATTGTATGAAACTAAATTAATTCGTAGTTGGTAGTTTTTTTTCTTCGCCGAACAAGCATATTTTCTTCTCTGAAGTTGATTTTTTTGTGGTGTTATTTTTATTTTATAATTATCTTTTTTTTAACTCTATAAAACATGTTCTAAAAGTGATATCCAATTATTACAAGCAGCAAGTGTTGGAATTTCATCTTTCATCAAGCGTCATATTAAGGGTTAGTTTTATAAAACGTTTTGCTAAGGGCCTGTTTGATAACTGTTAAAGGAGCGGATATGCACACGTAACAGTAAGAAATATTATGCTTATAGCGTTTGAAACGGCTAAGTGGATTATTTTACCATCCTAAATGACGGAAGGTATAAAGATTTATTTGAAATTAGAAATTCGTTCTTCCTTGTTCATGATAAGAATATTGATTGACAGGTCCACCTCTGAACGTCGCCATAAAGTATTTTGATCATTTTGTGCCTCAACCAGAGTTTAATACAGTAAATAACAAACAATAGTACTACGCTGAAAATCACAAGTACTGTCTAGTAAAAATTACAGATTTACTACAAACACAATTATATCCGAGCAATATAAAGTCGATTCATTCCAACTAGTGATATTGTGTGCGATACCTGTTTTCTGAGAGCACTTCACAAAGATGGTGAGCTTTGCTGTAATTAAATACAAATTTTTGTAAATTTTCTGATGCATTTACCATAGCTTTTGTCAAATTTAGTTGGAATTAATTTTCCTGTGCTAGAAAAAGATACTAAAAGCACAGTATAAGACTGTTTTGGATTATATAATTGCAGGAGTGCATGATAAATGACGATAGTACTTATATTCGCAAAACCAGTAATCTTTTGTAGCCGTTACTTAAAAAATGTGACGCAGTATCAATGGTGGTGCTAGTAAAATCGATTAGATGGAGTTTCTATAGATCTTCAGGTTATTTCTGTCGTTTCAGTTTTTTTTTCCAACTTTCATCATAAGAGTCTCTCCATTATATTTAGACACTTTTGATCCGAAAATAGATGTTCATCATTAGAGGCGTACGATATAGTAGCAAATGTACAGTTGTGCGAAATCTTCGATGATTTTATTTATGTATTTAAACATTTGCATGGTACTATTTAGATTTCATACGTTATTTAGATACGTAAATATGTTATCGGCTGTTGTCTATTAAGAATTCTTCATATAAGTGAAGCTGTTCCGAATTTATATCCTTAAGGTTTACAGTTTTTTCGTCCATGACTGAACTTCTACTTCTTACTGCAAGCAGTTTAAATCATTTTCGGATTACATTGTTGTCTGTAAAAGCTATCAGCTGGAATTAATGTGTTTGTCTGGACGAAAGAAGCTGATTACATATTGTCTCAAATCAGCCTTTTTCCTGTACTCAAGGATTGTTTCTAATTGATCATCTTCAGTGTAGATCTGCTTATAGAATACTTTTCATTTATGTTATTCATGACTGCATATCACTGGGAAAATTAAAATTTGACATTTCTCAGTTGTTTTCATGGCGTTGAAAATTTTAAATTTAGAACACACTGGGCGTGCGCAGTGAATAGTAACCATTTAAAAAAACTCAAAAGGCGTTTATTTAACTCATATAGGAACTCTATGATTGGGTGATTTAAGTTACACCTCACTGGACATAATCAATAATCACTTTCAAGACTTGAAATAATTACACCTGGGTTTTCTACTCTAATTCTTTGTTAAGCGAACGAATACATTCGGAATTGATTAATAGCCATTCCACCATGCATATAGTACAATAGGCCAAGAAATTTAACAGATTTAATGACGAAATCTCGTGAGTAAAATTTTAACGGGTTTTGAATGAACAAACTCCACAACAGTAATTCATCAGTAAATAAAGTTATCTCTTTATGCTAATAAAAACAATTAAACACGGACGATTTCTTGTAAATGTTTTTAACAAATTAGTAAGTAGTCTTGCAAATGAAATGAACTGAAAAGTATGCAGTCGCGAATGTTTTGGAGTTCAGAGTTTAGTAAATCTTCATCCAAAATTCAGAAGACATGCTTACTTTTAGGTAAACAATGCAATCGTTGTGGTAAGTTCAAATCACTGGTGCAAGACATTTGTTGATTTTACTAATAACTTTACTTTTGTGCACCATAAATCTTTCTTTTAATATAATTACACTTAAACATTACCTTAATATAATGTCATGTTGATTTTGTAACCTGTGTGTATGTTAAAAGTCATTTTGAAAAAGAAGAGTCTAGTAACGCTCACTACCAAAGATTCATTCACATTACCAATTCAGAAAATTTTTTGGGGTACTAAGGGTTTTAATTGTTGTTATAAGTTGAAAGTAAATTTATACGTATATTCGAAAGTAATATAGTGTTGATGGTTTAATGCCTCTCAGGCTATTAACGTTTTTACAATATTTCCTTGAATCTAGAGTACAATTTTATGATGATTTTCATATATTTGATAATAAGAAACACACCAACAGTTAAACTATATGCTTTTACAAACGTCACAATTTTAAGATGATAAAATAAATTCATTAAGGACTGTACACTGTACATTTTTCAAACAACCGCGCTGTATTTTTTGCCGTTGAAAAATAATATTTAAGGAACATGGTATTTAAATAAGAGGCGACTTCCCTTAAGTGTTTGTGAATGCACAAATTTAAATGATTTTGAGAAGTTACGTGATGCTTATCCGCTCTTCCCACTGCGTTGCTTATGATTATCCTTTTTGATTACTGCTTGGAGTGCTAATATCATGTTTCCTGTAATGATTTTTTTGTCTTGCTGCTAATCTCAGTGCGTGTTTTTGATAATTTCCCATATAACAGATAGCATAGGCATTTGCATTACTTAAAGTATTATTAATTACTTGTTGGCGGTTTGCGTTGTTAAATAACAGTGTTCCATTAAAATTTAATTTGTATGCGATGGAATGATTTCTAAAATATTTTAATTCCTCATTTTTCTACAGTTTTTTTAAATTTTATTTTAAAAGACACGTTGGATGTTATTCCATTGTGCTATTATGCTTTTTAATATGGACTGAATTAAATTTTGTACATTTCTTGTTTGAAATATAAATCGTGTATTTATGGCATTAGATTTTATAGCTTTAGCATTTCCCTGTAAAAATTTTTACATCATAATGTGACTTTTTTTATCTAGTTTTGGAAAGACCGTCGTCGCAAATGTCGTACCTTGAACAATTCCTCAAAGAAAACAACTCATTGCAAGTTCAAAGTCAGACTTACGATAATGTACCTGTTCAGTCTCTGTTGTATCAAGGCGGATCTATAGAATCTGAAGAAGGTGATATTGAAGACAATAGAGCTTTAAGTATAACAAGTTCAAAAAGTAACTTGTCTGAATTAAGCATGGTATGAATTCAGCTTGAATACTGATAAAATAATGTGACGTTATGTTACAGCACGATTCTCAGTCTCCCATGAAACATAAAAACCATCAATTTCTCGTGCGTACTTTTTCTAGTCCTACAAAATGCAATCACTGCACATCGTTGATGGTTGGTTTAATGCGTCAGGGTATGGTTTGTGAAATTTGTGGTTTTACGTGTCATACAGCATGCTGTCCACACGTGCCTGCGATATGTCCTTTGCCTTCTGATCAAAGTAAGTTTCAAGTTGCATTAGTTGCACAAAAACTGATCAGTTGCTTTAGCTAAGAGACCACTGGGAATTGATCCTACTCGAGGTATAGGCACTGCTTATGAAGGGTATGTCAAAGTACCTAAACAAGGCGGAGTTAAAAAGGGTAAAGTTTTTTTAGAAAAATTAAAGAGTGGTATTATCATTTTGTTTCGTTTTAGGTTGGGTCAGACAATTTGTTGTTGTTTGTGACTTCAAACTGTTTTTATATGACATATCAGCAGATCGAAATGCCTTACCAAGTGTTCATGTAGCTCAAGTCTTAGATATGAGGGATCCACAATTTAGTGTTTCTAGCGTTAAGGACTCTGATGTTATTCACGCGAACAAGAAGGACATTCCTTGCATTTTTAAGGTGAGTATTTTTTGACGAACTAGTAAATATTTACTCTATTAAATATTAAAAAACATGTTTGTCAAGTGACAATTAGCCGGTTGACAACCTAATAAAAGTGAAATTACTGGTATTCCGTTACAACATAATTTTTTTCCATTTTTTTTTATTGTGCATCGACTTTACGTAATTTGTCGACAATTGTTTCACAGGCGTTGTGGTGTTGATTATAATCTTAATACATAAACCTTTCAAGATCCTTTTTACTTTCCGAGCGCATAAGCGAAGAAAGTATTGTAATCAAGTCCATCAGGCGACTTTTAATAATAATAATTTATTTGCTCAACAGAATCAAACATTCAATAACATGACGAATTTAAATTAGATATGTGTACACTTAAACTAGCGACAAGTACGTGCTACTTTCATGATTTCTCGACGTTTCATGACCCCGAGAGTGCGAAAAAAGTGATTTACCGTTTCCGTCTGTCTGTCGTCTGTGTCAATTTTTATTAGATAAATAATCTCCGAAACTACTAGACCAAATTTGTATGTTACTAATATCATGTAGATAGATGGTAAAACGCTGACCAAGATTTGGCTAATCATCTCCACCAAGAATTTGATGATCATGTCAAAAGATTCTCTATTGAAATTATTTAAATCATTGATTGATTAAATTGTAAAAAAAATCTGCATTTTTTATGACCATTGTTAAATCAAACATAAGAGTGTATTATTAAGCCAAAGGTAGAAATTATTTTTTAAATCCTTAACGTAATTTCAAAATTGGAACAAAAATAGAGGTCTATGTGTACAATTATTGTTTTTTTGTGCTTTAAAAGTTTTAGCCTTAGAAATATTTATTTGTCTCTAGATTACTACTTCGTTAATGGAACCTCCTGGCCCGCGAAACTCAACCCTCATGTTAGCAGATAGTGAAGCCGAAAAGAACAAATGGGTTGTTGCTTTAGCAGAACTCCATCGGATAATGAAAAGGAATAACTTACCGAATACTACCGTTCTTTTAGCGCGCGAATTAATCGATAATTCGTTGACACTGTTACGAAATACCCTCAGTGCTGCTATCATAGATCCCGATCGTATAGTCTTAGGTGCTGAAGAAGGACTCTATTGTGTTGATTTAGATAGAACAGAAATTGCTAGAATCGGCGAAGGCAAAAAGATATTCCAGTTAGAGTACATAAGCGAGGAACACCTTCTGGTTGTTGTTAGTGGCAAACAAAGATATGTCAGATTAGTGCCAATTCGTGCCCTCGATGGTGATGAAACGGAATGGATTAAAGTCGCTGAGAGCAAGGGATGTTCGGTGCTATCAGTAGGACCGTTAGTAAGAGCACCATTGACTTTTTGTTTATGTATAGGAATAAAGAAACAGGTATTTTTTTCATTTAGTCAAGAGTTAAGTGTTTAAGGAGTAGTATTTTAGCAAAATTCTTCCACTGTTATTATATATGAAATAACTAGGACACGAACTAGGCATCACAGAATTCGTGAAATTAACGTTGCGGTACATGTACAATCACTGCAGTTGTTGTCAGACGGACGGTTATGCATAGGATCGCCTTCTAACTTTACAGTGTACAATCTTCAAGTTGAACAACCTTTGTTTTGTACGTGTTATTCAGTTGTTTTTGAATACTTTTTATTTTGCCTGTTTGCAGCTTTATTGAGTTCAGAGAATCCATTACATTCAACTTTGGGTTGTAATGCGGTTGAAGCGTTAAGAGTTATTGAATTGCCACGACATGAGTATCTTCTAGTTTTTGGAACTTTGGCGGCCTACGTAGATCGACATGGTCGAAAGTCGAGAGACAGAGAAATCATGTATCCGGCGGTTCCTACTGCAATATGTTTGTATTTCAGTATTCGGTTATTATATCATAAGTGATTTTTTATAGGTTATAGAGACGGACATCTTATAGTCTACAGTGAAACACACATCGATATTTTTAATTGTGCGACAGGTGAATGGGTTCAAACGGTCAACATTAAAAAAGCTAAACCTCTCAACGACACAGGAGCCCTTTCTTTGTGTATTTTAAATGATTTGACACATTTGTTATATTTGTCTAATATCCATCAGCGTAGGTTTATTTTTATGTTTAACAAATACTTTAGTAAAGAGTAATATTTTTTAGGTGAACTCATCAATTTAGATAATGTCGTAACGTTAGATAGAGAGGGACGAACACTTCAGAGACCCAGGAGAAGATTTTCACTTCGAGAGGGTAACAGGTCACAACGAATGTATGTGTCGTGTATTTTTAAGTAACTGTGTATTTTTATAAGAAATTTATTTGGTTATAGAAATACCGACCGTCGATCAAAGTTAATATCGGCACCAACTAATTTCAATCACATAAGTCATATGGGTCCAGGTGAAGGAATACAAAGACAGAGACTAATTGATCTTTCAACAAATTTAGTTGATAACACGGATCAGTCATCTTACGTTTCACAAGCGCAACCTCGAGTAAGTTCAAATCAATTTCGTGAGGCTGTTTTTTGAATGCAATGTTATCAACATTAGCAACAAGCTAAGATGGCACCTCTTCCACCAAAGCACGGTGAACGTAAACGTTTGGAAATATCAAATCCAACTCCCATTCGGCCACAGTTTCCAGCGTACAATGGTGCAAAGAGAGCGGCACCACCTCGACCAAGAGATCTTCCACCAGCTCTACCTAGACCTTCCGACACATCGCCTTCCCCAGATCCAGCTAGTATCGGAAGTATGTCATCTCTACATGATATGATTAAGGTAATTTTTATTTTAAAACTTATTTTGTTCATCGTCCAATTCTGGTCAAGAAACATTTCGATTTTGACTAGTACGCATCTAATTGGAACAAACCGTCGTGATAGCTTAATTAAAAATAACATATTTATATTTTCCCCCAAAAATCGAAAAAAAAAAAAATAACCAACCGCAGTCGCAATATTATTGGGTGGCATTTGTGACGAGTCAACGACCGATGAGTTTACTTGTTTGTAGTTGTGGTAGTTCCAGGATTACGTGAGGGGAAAGTAAATAAACAAAAGCGATGTCAGTCTTGTTTATTAATATACGAACACCGGATGCAGTACCTTTCACTAAATCGATCCGCTTTATGTTTTGCATTGACAGTCGCTCCACTGTTGTCTACAACCTACAAAACATCACCTAGAAAAAGTCTGATTGATTAAATTTAAATATTCAGGTGTAATTTTTACATCGTTTCCAACTAAGCGAAAATTGCAACACAAGCGACAAAAGATGAAACAAATTCTACAACCGTTCCCGTGTAAGCGTTTGTTGTATTTTTGTACTAACTTTGCTTCGGTTGTTTAACAAAAGTGTATTAAAATATAATAACATGAAATTACTTTTTGTGTGTGGTAGATTTATTGTAGATATTAACAGCAGCTTTTTATGTACAAATAATTTAGTGATGAAATTTAAAAAAATGGCTTACACTAATAGTTTTGACTAAAGTATATTCACGGAGACGAGTCACGGCGTCAAAACAAACACATTTTTTTTTAAACTTATAGTTTGAAGAAGAAAGTATTTACGAACCATTAAATCATTGAAGGAAAAGAACAGAAAGATATATTTTTTAGATGAGACATGCATAAACGCTGGTCACACAAAGAGCAAGGTGTGGATAGACCAGACCGTAAAGTCAGCTAGGCAAGCATTTTTCTCTGGGTTATCTACAGGCCTCAGAAATCCTGCAGGAAAGAGAAAGCGTATGATTATAGGAGTAACTCATATAGACAATGAAGCTGGGTTTGTTGATAATGGCCTATTGGTGTTTGAATAAAAAAAAAGCGGCGACTACCATGAAGAAATGAACGCAAAAGTATTTGGAAATTGGTTTGCAAAAGTTCTTCTGCAGCTGGAAGATCAAGCCGTAATCGTTATGGATAATGCGGTCTACCACTCCCGCAAAATAGAAAAAAACCCTACGGCAGCCTGGAAAAAGCAAGGCATTAAAGACTGGCTAGTTAATAAAAATATCGAGGGCGAAAATGATTTGTTAAAGGCTGAATTACTACAAATAGCCAAAGAATACAAACCGGCAATAAACATTTATGCCGTAGACGAAATAGCAAAAGCACAAAAGAAATTAATAGTCAGACTTCCACCGTACCACTGTGAGCTTAATCCAATAGAATTAATTTGGGCAGAAGTTAAGGACTATGTTGCAGCCAAAAATATAACTTTCAAATTTGCCGACGTTAAAAACCTTTTCACAGAGTTTATAGCTCGCATAGATAGTGAAAAGTGGCGCAAATGCGTACAGCACATTATTGAAAAAGTTGAAACCAAATTTTTGGAGTTGGACAGCATTATTGAAGTACCAGTGAAAGTGATTTAGAATGAACCAAATTTGTTTTATTTTGTTGTTTTAAGTTTTAACTAGTAGTCCTCAATTTTAATATTGTAGTTCATTTTTATTATTGCATTGTTTATGTTATTTAATTATGTTGTTTTTTTTTTGTGTTCTTTTATACTGTTTTTTTTTCTTCGCACTTTGTTTATCTACTTTGCAGCTAGTTTTATTTTAGCATTAAATAAGTTGATTTTGATTTTTATGTTGATCATGTTATTTTATTTTTGTTTTCTTAAAACAAGTAGTTAAGTTTACATTTCAAATTTATATTTTATTTTAACATGGTTTATTTTGTTTTCGTTGCATTATAAAACTGAATTGTTCTGCCATTAAACCAGCCATTTAACACTATATTTAAATATCGATTAATTTTTTATCATGACTTTATGGTTTTACGGAAGGCGCACTCATCGGTTGAACGGAGCATCGGCCGATTCACGTGATGTTGTTTTGATGCGGTGACGCGGTGACTCGGCTCCGTGAATATGCTATAGTTCGTATGTAGTCAGAAATTTAGTCAGAATATCACCATGAAAAATAAATTGCTTTAGGATGGAATTTTGGCACGTTGGTTTTTCTTTCAAAAAGGCAAAAAATCAAATGCACTGTGCGTTATATGACGACCCCTAGTAAAGCAGCGTCTAAATTAATTTGTTTAACCCTAGGAGTTCAGGTTTCATGACACTACTAGTGAGAACATACTGGGTGTAGAATCGTTTTTTGAACATAGGGATTTTACATTAAAACAGTAAATACAAAAATTGTAGAACATTAAAAAAATTTTCTAAATCCAAAAAGAATAAAGAGATGATTTAGATGCAGTTGTTTGTTCTGTAAAACTTTTGTATTTAACTTGTTGCTCTAAAATAATTAGGGGAGCCAATATTTTCAAATTTCTCTTTTTATATGTAAAATCCCTATGTTCAAAAAGCGATTGTACATTATGTTCACGACCTTTTTAGAAGTTAGTGGCCTATCGTTTTTTTTAATGTCACATCGGACATGTATTTTTCATGCGTGCTAGTTTACGACGTTTCAGGTACCAGAAGAATCTTGTTTTTTTTTAATAAAGTAAGTAAAATTTTAATGGCTTTAATGCCAAACAATTACACTCAAAATGCCAAAGGAACGTAATAATAAAAAATTGCAATCAAGGAACTCTATTTACAACTCCGTTGTGATTGGGCTGATCTCACACCGGAGCAAATGAGTATGACGAAAGGCGCCATCATGTGATGTGCGCATAGTGTCACTTTATTTCGGTCGAGTCCATGCTTCGTTCGAGGGGGAGAACGTCTTTGCAGTGGCGTGCACCCAAACTCAGAATACATATATTATTTGTGCCACATTTAATAAATAATAGTAATAGTTTTAAGAATGTGATTATACAATTTAGATTTTCTTTAATCTTTGAAATTATTCACAATGATTTTTTGAAAGTACATACGTAATATTTATTGTAATTATGTAACCTTGTTATGTTACAATCATTGCGCCACCGTGGTCTAAAAACCACGCATCATAATTTTACTCATTCAGATTTTCTGTAACTCATTAAGACCCATCAGGAACAGATGTTAGGCTTGCAGAACAAATGCATGATTCTTGTGAAAATATACTGGAAAATTATGGAACAATTTGCGAATTCCTGCAGGTTTCAGTCAACAAAAGTCGCTAAAATTTGCTTTATTTAAAATTTAAATTGTGTTCTCTTGTTGTGGTAATCAATAGAATTTTTTGCAACTGAAATGCCCCTAGCATCAATTATCCTCCATTAATGATATATTCACCCTTCACTTAAAAAAAAAATATGAAGTTCAATATTTCAATTCAATAAAAAATTATAAAGTTCTGAATGTTTAATTAATTAGTTTAAAATAATGTTTGTTGATGATATTTAAGCTGACAGCAACGGTTACATACTGACACCATTCATAAATCATAAGTAGGTGACAACCCAAATCGACACAAAGAATGTCGGTCTTTCGCAAGAAATTTTAACTTACTAATAGCTTGCTGCTGTTTAAAAAGGCCCTGAGTGCATTATAAGTAGGTATTTAAGGTACGTAAGTCATCGTTGTCTTTCTTCGTTCTTCAAGTTAAATAATCCTTTGCGATTTCTTTCTTGTGGTTGGTTCATTTTGAAATAAAGCTGAAAAGACCGGACTTTTAATTGCAGTTTCGTTTTCGTTTTAAATCAAACCAGTGAGCAGTACTGGAACCATGTAAAACTTAAAATTAACTAACAATAGATACGCACTAAGAAATGTCAAAAGTACTTCACTAATGCTAATCTAACCTGGAGATTCATTTATTAATCCATTAAACTAACTTGTCGTCCCTGAATGGTACTACATACGAAGTTACTAATCGAGTTTTAAAGACTCTAGAAAAAAAAAAAACTTAATTTCATTAGATAACATTGACTTTTTTTATCTCGCTGTATAATAGAGGTTTCAAAAAAAGTATAGTTAATAACCACAGCTATTAGTGACAGTGATATTTGACAATAAATAAAAATAAATTAAACAATATTTTAATCCGGATTGGTCAGTTTTGTGACGTTGCCAGTATTTTATTAAATGAGAGCATTGTTATAATTCAGACTAATTAGTAATTACATACAGAAAAACTGTTCAGAATTCAGAAACATTCGATTTTAAGGCAAATACTTAAGGCGCCTTTACATTATGTGATTTTGTGATATGCTAAAATTTTACGTTTACATCTAGTGATTTTACTGTGATCTGTGATACTATGTATTGTCAATTCAGATGTGCTGTGTCATAAACATCCATCATAGCAGTGGAAAAAAAAATAGTATTTTTTCTTAAATTAAACATTTTCGAAAATGTATGTTGTTATATTTTTAATTTTTCAAATGAATCATGAATCCACGGATTAAATAAGTCTTGGTTGTACTGACAGAGCAATTAACATATGGTCAAAAACAGCCAGGGATTTTTGAAGATGTCGTTGATAGAAATTTCGTCCTACTATCAATTTGAAAGTTTGAATTGAAAATGCAACCATCATAGACAGACTTTGAAAACCCATGACTGTGTTTGATGGTGTTTTTTTTCGCTGAGTATACAAAATTGATGTTATTCTTTGTGCATCAATTGATCGTTTCTTTGCTATAGTGACCAGTTCCCAAATCTGATAAAAAAAAATTGAATTCTCTTATTTATCTAAACATTCTGGTCAAAAACTTTTAAGGTGTCATACCTGTTGTAAAAAATGACCATATTCACAAACTCTTTATGATAAATTGTCCTGTTGATGTACTAATTTAGACATCTCTTGGGTGTCCAGAAAGAGTGTTTGCAATTTTAGTGGATTTTCATCATGTATAAATGTCTTATTTTGATCAATGTAATTTTGGCTTTTAAGTTTTTTTGTAGTGGTTTTTGACAAAGCATTTGTTTTTGTAATCTTTGACCAAAGCGTAATGGATATTTCGCAACTTTTTACTTTATATTCGGTATAAAATTCGACAACGTCTTGCGATTTTAAATTCTTTAATTATTGTTTTACTAATCCAAATAATATTTTAATTTTACTAATATGGCTATAGCTGCGTAGTGCAATTCTACTTTTGATGTTTACAATGATCGAAATCTTTTGGAAATGTTACGTTTATTACATTGCATTTTCTTAAATAATTATTAAAAAGAATAAAATCTAACAACTAAAAAAACTAAGGGCCGGTCTTTTCACCTCCTGATAGAGTTCCTGATTATTTTTATCTACTAGATAATGTCAAATGGAGTCTTTTCACCACCTGATAAAATTATCTTCCAGATAAATAGCTCTTATTCGGCAGATACACTATTCGGAACTTTAAGTTCCGGATAGTCGCCGATTCTTGCTGATATCTGACGGCGACAACCGATGGCGCAGCGAATTTGCGCGATTGTTTCAAATTCACTTGCCCATTTCTGCCAAAGACGGTGTTTACTTATTAAACCGTAAGTGATTTTCTTGATAAAAAAAAATGGATAAACGAAAAATTGAAAGCGAACAGAAACGGAACAGAGAGCCAAATTGCACCAAGGTCGAAACAAGCCGACTTTTAACACAAATTTTAATATACATAGTACGTTTAATATTTCGTATTTATCTTTACCTTGTGGCCCGATGTTGTAACTGCTTTTGAATTTCGTTGAACAATAATTCTACTGTGGCTTTTGAAAGACAAAAACGATTAAAAATCTCTTGGTCACTCCAAAAAGTTGACATAATCTCTATTTTCGCGAACAAAATATGTTCGATGTGGATTTATCTCTTCAATCACATTTATTATTAATAATAAATATGCATCAAATAACATGTCGATACCTTCATAAGTTCATAGACTTCCATAGCGCAACCAAAATAAAACGATAATATACGAAGTAAATGAGGTTATGTTAGCAGCGGTACGACTTCAAACGTCAAAAACTGTTGCAAACCCAGTTGCAAATAGGCTTTCTCTCTTATTCATATTACAATACCAATAGCTCCCACTCTCTCGCTTACAGCTGGACTAGCTGATTGTTATCGGAGACCCATGTCTAACAGTTGCAAAATGAAAAGACGGTACGAGCTAATTTAGAAGATAAGACCGCCAGGTAAAGTTATCGGGATGATAGTTATCGAACACTTTATCTGGGACATGAAAAGACCGGCCCTAAGCAAACTAAATGCTATGACCCATTAATAACATTTTTCGGGTGCACAATATTTACATGTGTAATAGGTATAATTGTTATTTTATGTTGTTTATAATACGTTTTCAGACAATTACTCCTTAGTTATATCGTCATCCTTTGTAACTAACTATTTACTGCGTAGTTGTGCACATTGTGTATTTTCAAGGGCTAATAATGCCTTTGCTTTATTAATTTTTTTCCGTCAAGATGGTGCTCAAACTCTTAAATATATTTTTTAAGAACATTGTAATGATAATGTTAAAAAACATGCAATATTGTTTTACTAACATTGCATGTATTTATTAACAGTTATATAGCAAATTAAAGAGAATTACAAATTATTTTAATTGATTTTACAGGCAACTGAAAAAGGAAGCCCTCGTCATTCAATTGCAAGCAACAATAGTTCTAATCTCTCCACACCGCCGTCACCACAAGCAGATCATCATAATAGTTCGAGTTACGATAGCTAAACGTCGATTTGAAAACTATGTGGAATAATCAGTAGCAATTATTAGAATAATTCGCAAATAACAGTTGACGATGTAAGTGCGAAAATGTCTGATAACATGCAAAGTGTTCAAGGAAAGTTGTGTTTAAACCAAAATTTAACAAAAAGTTAGGGAGTTGAAATAAACATAGTTCGTAGTAATATTTTTTATTTGAACACTTTGTATGTACCTATGAATAAACTTTAGTTACCTCAGTACATTTTATTATAGTGGCAAAAAATAAAATAACATTTTAAAACTGGTAAATGACATTTTATTGTATTTATTTATTTAAGGTGGCACTGTACTTATTTTTTTCTATTTTGTAAATTTTTGTGTATTTTTTTGTTTTTCTATTTTAAATAGTGTAAAGTACTACACTTTGTAAAATAATTCGAGTCAATTAATTAACTGTTGTAATATTAATTTTATATAATACAAATTTGATGTTATTATTTATATATTAGGCTTTATTACCGCAGCATTACGTAATACTGCCAAAATTTTACTGGATATATTATGTTCTTATATTTATACTTATTTATTGCTTGTTTTTTTATGATTTTTTATCAATAAAATTATCTTGTACTAGTGATATTTAATAGTAAAATAAGTCAAAGGTATTTCGATATTCATATAGTCTTATTTATTACTGTATATCCAATCTTTAGTACAATTTTGTATTAGTTTTCAACACATGGCAAGACAATATCAATTTTTAACAGGTGGAGTAGTAATTATAATGTTTAAATTCTTAGATTTTGTACTGTGAATTTTCAAATTTGAGTATGAAATAGTCATATTAATAGTTGTTTTTATGTTTATGTTACATTATATAGGAAAGACATTTTATATATTGGTGCACTAAAATTTGCCTTTTAATTATTTGTGATGGGATCGTTTTATTCAACTTAAACTAGAAAAATAAACATGTTTCCAGAACAATATGACAAAGGCATTATGTAACATATTAGATGACATAATATTTATTTTATTAATAGAGTAATTTATATTAACAATAACAATAATTATGAAGCATATAGTATTATATTACTAAATCTAAACATTAACCGAAACTGTGTTGAGAACTTTGTTTTTATGTATTTTATTACATCAATTTTTTACACCATTTTAATAATCAGTTTCTTTTAACTTCCCTTTCTAACTCGAATTTACCTTTTTTATTGTATTTATTTCTTGCTGTAATAAAAAGTTTTAATATTTCAATTTCTGATTTTTTAAGCACATACCGAACTAATTGGATTTAGATAGACCAATTAATTTTTATTAAGCTAGTGATTTTATCATAAAATTAACTATGAACTAGACTAAAAATAAAATTACAGAATCGATTACTTTGAAAAGTAATTCTTATAGACTAAGACCTAGCGACCCATCTACTTTATATATTTCAAAAGATTTTTTGCGCCTCTGCCGGGGGTTTGGTGATGGAGTTTTATTCTGGCGTTCAAACGTATTCATCAGACCAATTTATTTAAATGTCAACATTGATGAAATAACACATCAAAAAAATATGTACAATTTTTTATTATTCAGTTAACAATTTAGAATCCACTCCTCCAATGTTTTGGCAGTATATTTTGTTCACAACAAGGATCGTTAAATTCCAGACCTGTTGAGAAGGTTGTTTAACCTATCGGAAATAATAAGGTATACTACTGTGTCGAAGAAGTTGCTTTTACTGTATCTCATTTTCCAAAAAATTAATTTACAATGTTTTCTACGTAATGTACAGAGCTTTGTAAGCTCAAAACAGTACAATAAATAATTGAGATCTTGAATTTTAAAAATACGTGATGAAAAACTTCACCAAAACTTTAAAAAGCATAATGATGGTGTAGTATACCGGTTCAAATTAAATTTAGCGCCACAAAGAATGACATTTTTTCTGTAATGTAGACTTGCATTTTTCTTGATGAGCGGTGGGGGACCTTTTGAGCCACTGTAGGATCAGATTGTTTCAAGCAGTTGTAGTGTGAGTATGTAAATCCCCCGTGTAAAGGTACGTGTCCACTGGAGAGTGACTTGGCGAGAATTCGCGAGAGTTACTTTCAAGGGCTTGTCGATTTGAGAGGATATTTTGGCAAATTTTGCTCGCCGATAGATGTCGATCAGACAAAGCTCTCAAAACCCTGTCCACTACACAGTTGCACTTGCGAGGAAAATGGACCCTCTTTACTCGAACCGACAAAGAATTTATGATTTTACGAGCCTTTTGTTAATTTATTTTTCACGAAATACGGTAAAATATTGCAGCTGTGAAAACAGGTAGTAAGAGGACATAAATTATTATCTGGACCTAAAATTGTGCTAAGAAATACGCAAATGCACGATGCTATTTCTATTCATGAAAGAGTAATAGTAACATTACGATTTTTTTGTATCAGGTACATATGTAAAAGTATTATGTAAATCATTGAACAAAATAAGGTGTTCTCCATAGGTTATGTCACGTACATTTTGGGGTTTTTGGACCTTTCTTTTCTGTGTCACAGGTTGTCACATTCATATGATCCCACCCTCTATTATAATGTCATATAATTTTAATGTAGAGTTGATTTTGATTAAATCAACATTGCAATTATTACTCTTATTTAATATTATGTAAAATCTTCTTTCCACATATCTCTTAAAAATGTAAAAAATTGGTCGAAAGTTGTTTCGACAGAACTTCCCTCGCACCGAAAGAACTATGAAACATATCTAACATTTTCGAGTTGAGTTTTTTCTTTACACAATTTTGTGATGACGTCATCAACATTTTTGCAAGGTCACGTATATCAACTTGGATTGGTGCAGTATAATACTAAAAATAACAGTAGATGAATATGAATGCAGTGATAAATCACAATTAAAAACTCAACATATTTTGCACACTTTGGATAGAATTTATTCTGAAAAATTTTGAGATGACGTCATCAAGTTTTTGTTGGGAATAAACATATATGTTTTGATTAACAATTTACCACGCTTACAATAACCTTAAAACGTCTGGAAGATTTCAAAGTACCTATTCAGTTTTGCAATTCTTGTGTTATTCAGGAAACTAAAATCACGCATTCATTTTTTTTTGAGTCGCCCTGTATAAGCAAATCTAAAAAATATGAACACAATAATAAATTACAAGTATTATACTGATCATATATATTTTGCACATTTCGGGTGGAAATTATTCGGCAAAATTTTGAACTGACGTTATCAATTTTTTGGAGGGGATAAGCAAATATATTTTGATTAAAAGTTTATTATGCTTATCATAACTTTAAAACAGCTGTAAGAATCAAAATTAAATTGTAAAATGTTGTTTTATGTTTTCTTTTCCAAAAATCTGGAATCGACCCAGTACTTTTGGAGATTATCTGTCTAATAAAAATCGGGACGGCAGACAGACGGACAGACAGACAGACGGAAACTAGAGACTTATTTTTTCGTACTCTAGGGGTCATGAAAGGTCGAGAAAACGTAAAAGTAGAGAATGGGCTGACGGAAATAACGATGTTTGAAAATTGTTAATATTTTAGTTTTGTTTTTATAAAGACTCAGCATATTAGAAATTAATTTAATTGATACCATAGCAAAGCACGTACTTTTGTTTACCTCCCCATAAAATATTATAACACAGATCTTAAAATTAATACGATTGCGATTTTTTTGTGAACCGCTTCATTACAAAAATTTTTTAGAAAATTAGAATTAGGCATTCTATTTAAAAAAGTACGTTGAATATTACGCCTCAAAAACAGAACACTCTGTATAGTTGAAAATAATTTTAGTGTATGCTACGCGATTTCTATAGTCCTTTTTTTCCATATCGTGCAATTAGTTCTGCAGTTTGGTCTATTGACCATCCAAATTTGGCCATGGCAAAGCTCACCACTCGCGGACAGAACTGTAGGAATTCGAAACGTGTTCGTATTGTGAAAGTACCTCCAGAGAGGCACAGCTTTGGTTTCCAACTAGAGCCCAAGTTCTAGCAAATTTGCTACCCTGTCCACTGCGCGGGTACACTAGCGAGAGAAACGAGCGATTTGTACTCGACCGACAAATAATTTATGATTTTATGAGCTCTTTCAAGAAATTCAACTGAAATGTAAATGCTGGGAAAACAGGTAGCAAAAAGGGTATAGGTAAATTGTCTCCCGGGTTAGATTGGTAAGAGCGCTTAATACGACCGGCACCTGAAGATTATCATCCCGGCAGGTTATGATTCATCAAAGGACAATTACATGCAATGTTGTAGTGTGTAAAAACATCTATAAAATTATTGTCCCTAATAATTATATTTTCAGGTGAGGCAGGTATCAATTTATAAAAGCACTTGTGGATAAACACCGAAAGTAAATATAAATATTAATTTTTGAATACTCATGCTACTTAACAATACATTTGTAGTACCTAATATGTAAATTATTATTAAAAATTCATTTAAAAACGTTATTTGAATAATAAAAAATGAATTTACTTCGTTGTGCATAGTTTAATCTCGTACTACAACAAAATAATAATAATAATAATGAAGTATAATCAGAATCACTTATACAAACTATGATGTTTAATTATAAATTAAAAAAGTTAATCTAGTCTACTTTTCACATTACTTGCTTCAGATTTACGACAAATGAACATAATTTAGTCATTTATTTTCGTTTAACATTTTTTTTAGTATTTAATAATTTCATAAAAATGTGTTACCTATCGCAAAACGCTGTATAAATGTTGAAGTCAGGTAAACGATCAGATTTGGCCGAATTGCGTAGTCCTTTTCACGACTGTTTGCATAGAATCATAAACGTGTAAAATAAGTCGGCTTTACTCGAGAAATAATTTATGATGAACTGCTTACTCTCGGGGAATACTTCCCCAATTCGAAGCTTCTTCACACGGACAGTATCTCTCGCAAGTAAACGCAGTTTGGCTTGTCCACTGGAGAGAATATTGTTCGCGGCGAGATCAGCCGATCAGTGTTTCGTCTTTACTCGACTGGACTCGGAGCTCTCCAGGGCTGATTTTGAGGCGATTTCTCGCAAGTGGACACTTACCTTTAAAGTCACATGTGTTTGAGATTTATTTGTAAAATATGACCGAAGGGCCAATTGGCAGTAGATTAGAGGGACACCATCGTTACCCCCATGTGTAAGTAAAGTTTAATACGATTTTTAATTGATTCGACACATTGCATCATAATTGTTTAGACTAGCGTTGACTGGGCAGCTGGCTGGTTTTCCCGGGCTGGGAATTACACATTTTATTTTCTTGTGTTGAAAAAATTTATATAATACCAGAAATGCACAGTTACAATATGTTATAATAATTTAAATTGTGAAATATCTCATGGAATGGATGGTTCTTCTTAAACTATTATTTCAATTTAAATAGATTAACATTTGAAATTCTAACATAGTTTTTGGCAGTATTCAAGATTTAAATTTTTAAAGATTGAGTCGCTTTGGAAATAATCAGCGAAATCATATATCTAATACTACTATATTGCTAACTCTTCAGAAATAACATAGAAACGGCGTTCACGGACAGAGAGAGAGACAGAAGATATTGTTTTCTGTTTGTAACAGTACCGAGGGTCTGTGCGCATGTACACAAAATAGAAGCGAAAGTACGAAATGCCAAAACGCATCCAGTCACGCTATCGACTACACATCAAGCAAGTACGAGTGTATGCGCAGTACTGTTTGGTACCACAGACAGAGAGAGAGGTCCGATATATTGCTCTGCCGTTATGTTTTCGGACTCTTTTGAGGCCAGTTAGCAATATAGTAGTATTACTTATATGAGCGAAATCAATGTCGTCGTGCATTCGAAAGGGCAAAGGGGATTTTATGCTGGTTTTGTGTTGTTTTATGACTCTACATTTGGAACATTTATTCTCAAAGGTACCTCTCAAAGCGATGTACAAACCGAATGATATTTTCTGTTTTCGACCATATTTAACATGTGTTTTATGTATTTATGTGTTGAGGAATTCGATTCATGATGTACTCTTGTTTCATTAATTTTGTTTAAATGAATTCGGTTGGCAAGTTCGGGCCAAGTCAAGATGGATACATTTTTCCTGTCATTCATATGACTGTTTATTCGCATTCTGGATGCCGCCAACACGAGATATGCGGAGGGTGGCCTACTGGTAAAGGAAACTTTACTGGGGGGAGCCAGTGTCGTGTGTCCCGCGGTGGATGGAGTATAGTTACGGG